ATTTTTGGTAAAGCTTGTCACTTACTCATTGAAATTGAACATAGAGCTTATTGGGCTATTAGAAAGTTCAATTTATCATTTGACGATACAAGAAAGAATTGAACTTTATAAATTCAAGAGTTAAAAAATTATGAAATAAGGCTTACGAAAATTTGATGATTTATAAAACTAGACTTAAAACTTTTCATAATAGGCAATTGAATCGTAAGCAGTTATTTGAAGATCATAAAGTTTGACTCTATAATTCACATCTCAAAATATTTTTAGGAAAATTGAAATCAAGGTGGGACGGATCTTTTATTAGTATTAAATTGTTTGATTGTAGAGCAATGTTATTTGGTGATATCTAAATTTAAGATCAACCTTGGAGAAGATGGTTGCCTCATGTAACTTATCTAGCAGCTCCTCAATGATATGTAAACGAAATCTATTCCCAATCGTGGTTTGATTTAGTGCACAATAGTTCATATAGAATCATCTCTTTTCTTGATCTGTAGCATTAGACTGTTCAAATATCGAATGAATCCTATCAAGTACATCTGGTGAATCAATTTTTCAATCTCTTTTTTTTAGGCATGAGGATACTTGGGGGGACATATGTTGACTAATTTGACATTTGACTCTACTTTTATGTTATAGTCAATATCACATTGTGGAAGAAGTTAAGTGATTTCATCAAATACTCTAAGAAATTATTTTCTAAGGTCTCTCATAAGGCTTAGAAGGAGAAGTTGGTCTTCCACTTCTAACCACCTTTAATGAACCATTGTTATAGCTCCACCAAGACCTCATTCTTCTACTTTAGTGTCTTATATAGTATTTTTAGAGTTTTATCATGCATGTTCAGTGGAGGCTTAATCTATTGATTGGTGACTTATCATGATAGATATTGTTCTCATTTCCCTCATAAAATTCAAGCCTCTTCATGGTGTAGATCCACTTCATCCTTATTATAATGTTGGTATTTTCTAGTGATAATAATAAGGAATCTTCACAAATCATGAGAATGTTCCCTTGTTGTCAGTGCCTAAGCTTTCCACATTTTCTTTAGTGCCAATAGTCACTTGATATGGGGTTGTCATTGCTACTCGAGGTCTAAATCTGCGGCAACTAGTTTCAAAATAAAATTATGAGTCATCCCCATTTCTATCAACATGGTAAGTACTTGGCCTTGGATGTTTAATCATAATTTTATGGTGCTTGGGATCCTATTCTCCACCATCAAGTAAGTTAATAGCTCATATTAACTAGATCTTCAATTGGTTCTTCATTGGGCAAAGAAATGCTCTCAGATTTTGAAATTTCCTTCAAGTCTTTGTCCACAGTTAAAGTCTACATCTCTTGATGAGCTTGGACTTCCTCTAGGATAAGTGTCATGTATTTGGATTTATTTGAGGGTTAGATATCATCATTTGTCATTCTGTTTGTGTCCCATAGATTGTGAGACAATGTGCAACGTTGAGTATGGTTTGGACCCCTGCTATAGTTGAGTCTATTATTGACTTAGAGGCCTTATGACTTTGAAACTTGTTGTTGGTTAAGTGGAGGATAATGTTTCTTGCCTCAACTGTATTGGTTAGTTCAGCCCTTCAAGCTCTAGAAGCATAACTTGCATCCTAGTTTCCTTCTTCAGCCTCTTGAGAAATGTTTTCTCGAGGATAGGCTAAAGAAAATCCTCTAGAATGACAACCATGAGCTTGAACTCAACTTCTATTTAATCTCCCAAAAGCATTAGTAGATAGAGCCTATCTGAATATTGTTGAACCATTCTAAAATTTTATGACAAAGATCTTTCCAATCTATGAAAACTTCATGCTCAATCATCCATTTGAATCATGATAATGCATTTTCTTTAGGGTTAGCCACATTTGTCACTAATATTTCATATCATTCATCTGGTGTATAGAAAAGAATAAGTTAGCATGAAATATTCTCCCTTTCGAGTTTCTCCATTTAAAAGGAGCATCTCTAATTGTTAATGGGTATTCCATGTTTTGGCAAACATCTATGCATCATTAGATAGTCTTCCATGAGGACATTCTGCTTTGTGAGGATGTGCCCACTCATGCTTGGTTGGTTTGTCAGCTTGTACTTGAGACGACCTACCAAGTGAGATTTGATGCTCAAATGTCCTTAATTTCCTTCAACATAAGCTCGTACTGAGATGAAATGTTGACAGAATATTTTCAAGACACAAATGAGATAGTCCAATTGTTGCATTGATACTACTTCTCATTCCACTAAGGTAAACCACATCTCGCTTCAGGTTGGGTCTTAGGTGACATCTCATTTTCTACAAGCTCCCATATCTCATATCCCAACAAAAGTCACCAACTCATTTTCTACAAGCTCCCATCTATTATTGGTCTTAGGTGGCATCTAACTCTGATACCAAGATGACAAGACCCTCTCCTTCGTAGCCTTACTTGGGAGAGGGAGATTATCAAAGAAAGAAAGAAAATGAGGGAAATAGACACCACAAGACTCAAAATAGAGATTAAATAATCAAAAGATAAAGAGGCTCAATAATAACAAACAAAAAAAGGAATAGATAGAGTAAAATAACAAAGGAAAAAGATAAAGGGAGTAGGGGAAGGGGTGGTATTGAGGAAGATATGAAGTTGGTTGCTTCAAAATGACAATCTCCTATGCTCTACTTCAAGAATGACTCCCAAAAGCTCCCTCCATCCATAGGTTCTAAGCATTCTTATAAGATGGGCAGTTCTCCCCACATCATGTGCAAATGTTGTCACATCCTTAGGGGTACTTGGCATGTGCAAATGCTGCATCACAAACTTTACCCTTAATCCTTAGATAGTTAAGAGAGTTGACAAGGAGGAATGGTTGTTGAAATAGTCGTCATTTGAAAATCGTATTTTTTTCTCCTTTGTCCTTATTTTGGTGAAATGCACATTTATGAGGTAAGTTGGACCACCTTTTTTTAGCTCTTATCAAGACAATTGGTCAAGTTAAAATAGGCCTTAAATAGCCCATATGTGAAATCTGAAAAATATAAAAAAATAACTATAAATAATGAAAAATTTATAACTCTCTCAATACTTAAAGTTTTTATGAATAGTCATCAGCTTTAGATTCCTCTTTTTTATCAACTTTATATTGACTATTCATATGCCTATATATGTGACACATTTTTTTGAGATAAAAACCTATTTTTGTTGGAAGAGTCAAGCTTTATTTTTCCTATATACAAACATATAAAATTATCAATCTTGTAAAATTAATAATTAATCAACATATTAATCATTTTCTTTAAATTTTATTTTACTTGACTCCTCATTCAAATACCTTTATATTGGTTACTCATATGCTTATATTATTGAAGTAATCTAGTGCAGAAAATCTAAATATTAAGATTTAGATATAAGAAGATAACACATCTGCTCCACACATACTTTTATTACCTTTTTAGTTATATAGTGTAACATTTATAACCTTGATGAGAATTTAAAATATATGAGATATTCTTATGATCTAGACCTATTTTTTTGTTAAAATGATCTATACTCATCAATCTCATCAAATACACAATTTGAATTAAGTCTATATAACATATTATTAATTTCAAGATTTCATATTAATATTTAAAGATCATTAAAATCATAATGAGTTAATCCACAACTCAAGAATTCTATTTATTTATTTATAAAAAAAGCATTCAAAAAATACAAAATATAAAATTGTACCTGAATTTGACTGAAAATATCATTTTTTCACATGAGAATCGTGGAGAATCATCTCTTATGGCCATGTTTTCACTAAACATGTAGACAAGTACAACAGAAGTTTGAGATCAGTTTAAAATATTTTGTTATCATTTAGAATTAAAAAAAAGAGTCAATTTATATGAGGAGGTAGAGGAAATTACCAAAAAGTACAACAATATTACCACAAAACCTACAAAAGATTAAACACAATTATTTTTCATAAAAACTTAAAATAGTATAAGTGAAAAATTTGAGAGTAACAAAATTAGAGAAGATAAATGACATACTACAAAGTTGTGATCTTTTATAATGTTCATTATTTGTATTAGTTGTGGAGAAATTTTTAACTCTAGAAAGTTATTAGATGTGTTTGAACATCTTTATGAAGTAGTGAATCTAGGGAAAGCATTGTACTTGGTCTTCAAAGGCTTCAAATCTAACAAAAGTGAACTAGGAGCTTATTTGCTTGCCGATTTAGAGCCACAAGGATTGCACTCTTTAAGTCATGAATCTAGCACTTAGTACTTAGTTGACACATTTATATTTGTAAAAAACCCCTAATAAAATTGAATGTACATTTTTACCCTAAAAATTCACCCTTGTGGTGCATTTAGAACTAGCATTTTCTTAATGTTGCAATTAGGCATTGAGAATAGGTGGTGGCTTCATGACCGCCACTGATATATGTTGGGCTTACATGGCTATTATGAGACATGTGGCAGCATTACATTGGCTGCTAGGAATAGGTGGCAGCAAGCTTACATGGCTACTTTGGAACATGTGGCAGTCTAATAGTGGTTGTAGGAATAGGTGGCGGGCTTACATGGCTAACTAGAACCCTTGACCAAGAGACTATTTGACCTATTAACCTTTTTGGAGACTAAAATTGGGCTTATTTTTCCTCTCAAATTTTGCTGTTGGATTATTAACCTCCCTAATTTAATTAATTTATATGAATTATATAATTTTAAATAAAGAGGATAAAATTAGCGAATTTTTAGAAAAGTTTCAATTCAAAGAGCCCTTGCGGCTCAAAGGGTATTTATTATACGTTAACAGCACGTTCTTCCGGGAGAATCGCGTCCCTGAACCCCACAGATTCTCTGAGCTTCCCCTTCTTGCAGGAGCGAGATGGCTCCGTTGATGCCGGAATCGGGGAGGACGACCTCGCATTGCTCCGATCTGCTGAGCTTCGCGATGTCCTGGAAGGGCTGGACGGAGTAGTGGTGCTTGGCTATGCGTCTTCGCGCGCGCGAATGGCATGGCCTTCCGGCCATGTTCTTCTGCATCTCCGCAGTACTCGTTTCCTCCACATTCGTCTTCCTCTTCTTCATCAGATCCTCGTCCCCTCCCCGGCCCAGATCTCCCCTCCCCCTCCACCGCCGGCTCCTCCAGTCGATACCAGTGAATTTGTCCCGTGATCCGCCGCCGTCTCCGCCTCCGTGTGACTCGATCCCCCTGGTGTCCGCTGGCCAGCGCAACTCTTCTTACTCCCGCTGCCATGGAGATTCCAACAACATCTTCGACTACGCCTCGCTCCACTTCAATCTCTTATCTGAGAAATCGTTCCTCTCTGTGCCTTTGCTCTCCCTCGTGCTCGTTTTTCACTTCTACTTTCTCGTCAAGGCCGCGGGGGATCACTTCTCGCCGGTCGTTTCCAAGCTCGCCCGGCATCTCAACCTCTCCCCTAGTATGGGTGCCGTCACACTTCTCGCCCTCGGCAATGGCGCCCCGGATGTGTTCTCATCGCTGGCCGCAGTCCGCGGCGGCCACGCGAGGACCGGCCTTGGGGCGATCCTCTCGGCGGGGGCCTTTGTCTCTGCACTCGTCGTAGGTTTCGTGGCCATATACGCCGCGCCCTTCTCCGTGAACCCGGCGCCGTTCATACGCGACGTCTTCTTCTATCTGGTTGCGGCGTCAGGCCTCTTCTATGTGTACCTCAGTGCCGAGATCTACTTGTGGCAGGCTGTGGGGTTCGTGCTGTTTTACGTGTTCTTCGTCTGGTTCGTATTCCGGATGGATTCTGCCGTGGAAGAAGGGAAAGGGGCGGGAAGAAATAGAGGCAGCGGAGGGCGGGGCGGCGGTGGTGATGACGAGCCAGAGGTTGAGATGGGTATAAAGGGGGAGACTCTGAAGAAGCCTCCAGAGTCGTCGAACTGGGATAGGGAAGCCAGAGAAACATTAGAAGATGCAGATACATCTAAACCTGGCGCATTTTGTGGCCTCCTTCGGAAGGTAACTCTAGAATTTCCTTTTTTTTTTGAGTATTTGTTTCCTCTTAGTGATAATCGTTGGAAGGGCCCTAGACAAGCTTCGGATTTCTGGCTCTGCTGAGTGGATCAATCACTGGATTTTTCTTGTAAATGAAATCCTCGCTTTGTAATCCCGAGGATACGATTTAAATTCCTGAACTGGATGATGAACTGTGGTCATCCGCCATATCAACCAGCACGTGGTTTTTCGCATTGGCTGGATGATGAACCATGGGAATGGCTTATTGGCTTCAGCAAAGCTGAAAATCTGTGATTTGTCGATTCACCTTAATTCTCTACGTACTAATCATGTTTTCGTGAACCATGCCATTAGATGAGAGAAGTGATCTTACAGCTGGTGGTCATTGCTGCGTGAAAAGCTATCCTGTTCAGTAGATTCTTCAGTTTCAGGTCATTAAAAGAAACAATTTGTGTGTGTTCATCCCATAAACTTTAGATTCGTCCAGACACTAATCCAGGGGTGCCCAAAACAATTCATGTTTTCAAACGGTCACACATCAACATGATATTCACTTCCTTCCATGCAGAATCCTCGTGATCATCTGCATTGAAATATTGTTTTTTTATCCCAGCTGTGGACAGCTGATCTGTGTAGCGTGTACAGAGTTTCAAATCAGCGTTTAGCGCCGATGGCATGGATTTGAGGATCTAAAAGTGTTCCCACCCCCCAGTATAAAGCTTGGTTTATAAGGCTTGAATTTCTTTTTGGATCGACAAAATTCAGATCTAGTCATAAGAATTCTGTCAAAAATTTCCAGATAAAAGCTGTTTTTTCAAAGATTTTGGATCTGGCGGTGATTGCCTGTGTGCCCCCATTACCAGTTGGTTTAAATCTTTTGGCGGGCACCTGACCATGGAAAAATATTTTATTATTTTTTTGCAAGAATGAGCATCATGCTAAATCTTCCATGGGCATCGTGGAGGAATCATAAAAGATCATCCCTAGTCTAAATTTTTGGGGGGAAAAGTATTCCGAATCCCATCAGTTTCCCTCTTTGATTAATCCAGTTTCATGAACTAGCATCATCTGCTTCGGAGCTATGCTTATTATCAGCTTCTGCTGCCAGGTTATACCTTCCAGGAAACCTTTGTGTGTCTCAACATGTTCTTCATCCAACCCGCCTCCTGACTGTATCCACTTCTGCATCTCAAAGTCAACCCTTTGCCTTTGTTTTATGTCAACTACCCTTGGAGAGCGAAGAACGTCAAGGGATCCTACTTCTCCCGAGATAAATGCTCCTACATGTGTGAATGCTGGCTCATTACAGACCATGAGGCAAATGTACATCGAATCGTTGACCAGTTGCTGGTGTCAGGATAGATCCCATTTCTTGGGAGATCCCATGCCACCTTGGGTAGTTTTTTCTGTGAGGAAGCCATAGAACCTTGTTATTCTGAGATATTTTTGCAATGAGGATATCTTTACCCACAGCCAGCCAGACCCGCTTGAGCAGAAAGCAAGGATCTTATAGTCAGTGACGATCATCGATGAAGGTTTGTGCTTGTCGCTGCTAAAAAATCCAGGCTCCGAATCATTCTTTTTCCTCACACTGATTGCTTCTCTTGAAGATCCATGGTGATTATCTCGGAAGATATTCACATCACGAAGAGAGTAGTGTGATTTTTATTTTATTTTTTCCGTTCAGCAATGTTTGGTGCATCTGATTCATCATCCTCCCCACTTGATTTAGATGTCTCATCTCTCCCGCTCTGTTCTTCTTTAAATTGCAGGTGGCCATGGCGTGGGAGTTCCCCGTCTCGGTTCTTCTGAGACTCACCATCCCCTGCACATCCCCCGCCGACTGGAGCAGATTCTACTCCTCCGCCAACTTCGCCTTCTGCCCGCTTGCCATCCTCCTCTCCTTCCGCTCCGTCCTCCCGCCGGCCTCCTCCTTCCCGATCTGGTCGGTCGCCGTCGCCGCTGGCCTCCTCCTCGCCGCCGCCGCCGCCCGCTACGCCCTCCAGAAGGATCCTCCGCCGACGCCGGCGGAGGAACGGATCGCCGCCGTCCTCCTCGCCTTCCTCATGAGCGTCCTCTGGATATCCACCATCGCCGGCGAACTCCTCGGCTGCCTCTCCGCCCTGGGGCGCCTCCTCGGCCTCCCGCCGGCGCTGCTAGGCCTCACCGTGCTCGCCTGGGGGAACTCCGTCGGCGATCTGGTGGCGGACGTTGCGGTGGCGCGGGCGGGGCAGCCAGCGATGGCCGTGGCGGGATGCTTCGCCGGCCCCATGTTCAACATGCTGGTCGGCCTGGGGGCGGCGCTGGTCGTCTCCTCCGCCGCCGTCTACCCCGAGCCCTACGAGCTCCGTTTCCACGTCAGCATCGTCGTCGCCTTCGTCTTCCTCCTCCTCAGCCTGATGGGCTCCCTGCTGGTCGTCACCTGGTGGCGCTTCCGCGTGCCCCGCTTCTGGGGCTTCTGCCTCGTCGGCCTTTACGCCCTCTTCACCGCCGTCAGCCTCGCCGTCTCCGCCCTCTTCTCGTGAAGGGTAAGGAAACGGAGCCCATACGGAATATTCTTATCGAATCTTCAATTACAAATGATTACTATTATTTTCCTTATACTGTTTATGCCTCAGGTTGGATGAAATTATTCACAGGTTCTCCTCATCGCGTCGCTGTCGCCGGCCCCGCTTCAAACCGAGCAACGGCCGGGAGGGAATATTCTTATCGAATCTTCTATTAACAGATGGCTATTATTATTCTCCTTGTTTTATTTTTTGGCTCAGGTTGGGGATTCTCCAGCCTCTGCAAATTACACTTGAGTCCTCCGATTCTGAAGGTGCCATTTTTTATGCCTTGGATGAGCCCAAATTTGTGCCCATAGCTGGTGTTCTTCTCCCTCGTTTGACTAAACCTTCTACTGAGAAACCCTTGAGGGACTGTCGAATCATGGAAATGCCCCTCCTGGTCTCTCGGCCCTTGATGAAATGTCCTCGCATTTGCATTTCTAACCCCGGGAGGCGTAGAAATTGTGTAATCTTATTGATACGAGGTATTAAGGCTTTGTTCCTGGCCGGGATCGTAAGCCTCATCCGTTTACGTTGACTTTTATGGAAGCAGAGCCTCTTGAATCTTGTATCTAGTGATGACTCTCTCTCTCTCTCTCTCCCCCTCTCACATGCACCATCTTGTCTCTCACTACCATGTCTCCCTCTTCGCACCTTATTCTCTCATTACCCATCTCCCCCTCTTTCTCTATCTTACACGCACCGCCGCCTTAGTTCTCACTACCCATATCTTTCTCTCTCTGACGAGCACCCCCCAACTTCCCTCATAACTCGCATTAATAGAAAAAATAGTAAATAGGTCGCACTGTCTTTGAGGGAATTCTATCTGCCAGCTTTCACAGCGCATGCTCGACACGTGGCCGATTGCCGCATCTGCGGCTCCGAGTAACGGTTGGTGCCATCCGACTCAGCGGTGTCTGTTAACAATGCCTTCTTTCCTTTTTTTAATCAACTTCCATCCACGTCGGCTCGACTTCTTCATGACCACGTGGCGGGAAGCTTCCCTGCCAGACCGGGGGCCGGCCCACAGTGTCAGACTAACCACCGCTGGTTCCACGTGGGGCCTCCGTTTTATGGTAAAACCTGCTCAAACAATATTTTATTTAGGTGCATACCATCTTGCGATGTGACATTTTTCATATTAAAATCGAATCAGGATTAAAGACGTAAAAGGCCCCTGCGCCACTCTCAACAACACACTTGGAAGTCAGACCAGCTGACGACTGTAAGATCCTCTGATCTGGACGGCCATTGAACGATCAGATCAAAATCTGCCAAGATGGAGATGGATAACATTTTTTAATCCATTTTAATTATCTGTTATTTATTATTATTATTTAAAAAATGTCGCGTTGAAATATTCCATTCATTCCACGAGAAAATTACGCCAAAATCCGTCATTTGAATGTGCGAAATACATTTAATTATTAAGAATAAAAAGGAGGCGGAGAGTCACAGTAATGAGTGGTGACCAGGGTGGTGGACGGTGACTGTATCCCGTGCGCTCCTCTTTTGATGTGAGGAGGTGAGCAGCCGGAGAGTCATCATCTCAGGAGACTTGTCCCCTCCACCCTTTTAACTCGTGGCTTACAATGGACTAGTACTCTACTACTGTGGGTTAGAGAAAGAGAGATAGAGATAGAGATAGAGATAGAGAGAGAGAGCGAGCGAGCGAGCGAGAGAGAGAGAGAGCACGATTCGTGTATGATAGAAAGTTCTGCGGTAGTATGATGAGAGAGGACCTTCCTTTGTGCAAGTCAGTACTGAGCTTTAAAAATAATATTGAAGAGGACGTAGGGAGAGAGGGAGAGATGGAGAGAGGGAGAGAGGGAGAGAGGGAGAGAGGGAGAGAGGGAGAGAGGGAGAGAGGGAGAGAGAGAGAGAGGGAGAGAGAGAGAGAGAGAGAGAGAGAGAGAGAGAGAGTCAAATCAAGTTTAAATGGGGGAGTGGGGCATTATTAGTACTTGGAATAATTATTTGCGTTGATAAATAATAATTGGAATCAGATAATGTGCCCATGTTTTTGCAGTTTTTTATTAAAAAAACGAATTATTATTATGCCCACCCCTCTAAAACCGTGAAAAGAAAGAATGTTTTTTTTTTCTCGAGAGGAGACCAGACGGATCGGCGAACGTTGACCGTATATTTATTTACAAATATGTATTTTAAAATCAAGCCTGGAAATTCTACGAAATGAAAAGGACCCATCTGAAAAATCACTGACGGCATCACTTCTCCGTCGACCAGTTTTCCTGGCGGAGATATTTTTCCCCGGCGGCGGCGGAAACCGTGGGTGCCTGGGCCCTACTCCGCTGCCAAGTGCTTGGCCGAGAGCTCCCCGGGTGGAGGAAGGAGGTGGCCCACCCCCGACGAGGACGGAAATCGCTCACTTGGCCTCCTCAACCGCTATAATACACCGCCGCGGCCTCCCTCCTCGCCAGTTCTCTTCTTCTTCTTATTCTTCTGCTGTTTCTCTTCTTCTTCTTCTTCTTCTGCTTGTTCTTGTGTTGGTGGGGAAGAATGCTGGGAGTGTTCAGCGGGGGATTGGTGGCGCCGCCGGAGGAGCTGGTGGTGGCGGGGAGCAGGACGCCGTCGCCGAAGACGAGGGCGTCCGAGCTGGTGGCGACCTTCCTCGAGGCCTCTGCTCCGGCCATCTCTATAAATCTCGGCGGCGACGGCAGCCACCTTGCCTACTCCCACCACAACGAGTCTCCCTTCAGTCCCAGGTATCTGCACCACGTCTGGCAGCGCCGCCTCATCGCCGCCGCCACCCGGTGGGGGGCAGTAGGATTGTAGGGATAATTGCTAAAACAAAATAACATATTAATCCCCAAAGAAAGCTAAATTACAGGTCTACGATCCGTCATTCCAAACCATTTAATAAAACCCCTTTTTATCTGGTATTTCCATATATATCATAAAATTAGGAGCCAAAAGTAAACTTTCCAACAACATAGGTCCCAGGAGCTTATTTCGTCGTGTCCGAAAATCTGTTATTTGCGGGAGCCGGAGCTCCTCTGGAAACGCGTCGATTCCTCTCTTCTTTTTGGAGGAGGTTTCTTCGATTAGATCCCGCCCTCAGACTGGTCCAGATCTGTCTCCTGCTTCGTGCTCGAGGGGAAAATCGCTTGATCCTCTCAGGAGATTCGTATTTCTTTGCGTTGCCTGATCCTCTCTGCGAGATCTCGGGGTTCGGGGTGGAGTTTTCACTCTGATTTCTGCAGGATTTTTCCTCGCTGTTTTCCTTTGATTGTGTTCGATTGCTGATGGAGATCTCCTCCTTGTCTACCCGGGGATCCGTCTCAGGTCATTTGCGGTGAAGGAGAACATATTCTGCGTGTTCGAAGGCGTTCTCGACAACCTCGGGAGCCTGAAGCAGCACTACGGCCTCTCGAAGAGTGCCAATGAGGTGCTGCTGGTGATCGAGGCGTACAAGGCTCTCCGCGACAGGGCCCCTTACCCCCCAAGCCAGATGGTGGGGCATCTGCGTGGGAGCTTCGCCTTCATCATCTTCGACGCATCGACATCGTCACTCTTTGTAGCCTCCGTAAGCTCCCCCGCCAGTCGACTGATTTCCGGGAAATCTTCCTCTCCAAGCAACTCCGATTGACGGCGATCTGCGCTCCTTGTTTCAGGATCCCCACGGGAAAGTGCCTCTCTACTGGGGGATCACCGCAGACGGATTCTTATCCTTTGCTAATGATGTCAATCTGCTGAAAGGCGCTTGTGGCAAGTCCCTCGCATCTTTTCCGCAAGGTAGACCTCCTTCTCATTCTTCGGCAAGCTTTTCCATCTGTTTCTTCGTGGATTCTGCACCTTCCATATCATGATTCAGAAAAACGTTCGAGGTTCTTTACTATTATTGCTTCTCTGATAATTTGTTCTAATCAATTGCAGGGTGCTTCTACTCCACAAGCCTAGGAGGGCTGAAAAGCTATGAGTACCCTAAGAACAAGATCACTGCCATCCCTGCATCCGAGGAAGAGATCTGGGGCGCCACCTTCAAGGTTGGAGCCATGAACCCTTCTCTTTGCTGCTAATATCATTTCCCCATGTATTTTCGTTGAGATTTCTCCTTTTAGGTTTTCTGAATCAAAATCACCTCTTTCTTTGGAAAAGAAACCAAGAACTTGAATGAACCGAGAATTCGGAAAAAAAAAAAAAACTGCCGCTCCTCTCATCTTTCTTTTTTGTTTTTTTCTGGTTCGTGTTCGTTCTTATTCAGTGAAGTTCACCCTCATCTTCTACCTTCTATCCTCGGCTTCAGTTCGGCAGAAACTGACCGTGCCATCTCCTCAGGTGGAAGCAACTCCCGTCTTCGCCGCCATGAATTAGGGCATCTCCTCCTCCCGAGTCTTCCCAATGAGCAGGAAGCTGCCCCCCAGGAGGAGAGCACCATTTCCTGCGTGTGAAGCTACCAATAATGCTCGCTCATCCACGCCATGTAAATATCTGGGAGTAGTAGGTCGAAGACGAAGGCATCTGCTAGGGTTTAGGGTTTGGCCTCTGTATTCCTCCGGGCTTGATCCCCTGTGTCAGTCCTCAGCTTCTCAATCTCCCACTGTAAATGATGCCATGCCCTGCACTGCATTTGATTGCACTTCCCTTTGTTGCTGTGAATAAATTCTCTCTCCTTTGACGACGGCCAAGTTTGACTCTGGGTCAACTCTGGGTCAACTCTGGGCTCTCTTCTCAGAGATCAGCCGCATGATGGATAATGTGCGCCGTCAGCGATAGCGCATTTTCAACTCTAGGAAAGTCAACTCGTTTGTATTTTAGGCATGGGACGAGTAAAATGTAAGATTTAAACTATGGTTAATAAAATATTTAGCACCGAATATTATGGGTTGATCGAAAGTACTGTGTTGACTTGACGCACGGTCTCCAGCCGTTGACCATTGTGTTTGTCCAAAGAAAGTGGGCCACGTCAACGGCCCGGTAAGCCGATAGTGTTGACCCATTTAGTCTCTTTCTAGATCATATTCTTGAGAAAGCCCAGAGCCCATTAGCTTGTGCAGCACATGACACTCTGTCTGTCTGCCTCTCTCTCTCTCTCTCTAGTTGTAGTGGTTGGCCTGAGCCTCTGTGGGCCAGACTTTAGGCCCATAAAGTGATATTAGAGGATTATGGGTCACCCAGCCCAGACCAGACCAGCCCAGCCCAGCCCGTTAACCGTATCTGGGCCCAGAGAAAGTGAGGATTTTACGGAATCGAGAATTACTGAATAAATAAAAAATATGCTAATAAGGGCATTGTGCGAATACGAGGGGAAGCACGTGGCAGGCCTTCGTGTTCTCTCTTGTCACGCAAGGATACAGTGATGGCGGCGTGGCATTTCTGCGGCTACCCCCGCTTCTTCGCATTTTCCCAACGCTGCCGCGTGTTTTTGTCGGAAGGGAGAGAGGGAGGAGGGGTGGGAGTGGTGTTGGTTGCGGTGAGGAGGCTGTGGTCTCCTCTCTGCTGATCCGGGTCTGAAGATGGCGAGTGTTGCTGCAGAGGTGCTGAAGAGGGAGGAGGATCTGCTTCTGGGATCCTCCATCTTTGACTCCCGGATGGGTCAGCCCCCTCTCCCTGTGGACGGTGCTGTATGCTTGGTTGGGATTTGGATTTCTTTCTGTGGATGGTATCGTTGATCTGCCGAATTTGGAGTTGTTTTTTTCTTTTTTGAGTGTATCCTGTGCTCGTCTGATGCTTGCTCCCGCTGTCACGGTTCGCACCGAGGTAATCTTCTTATTGCTTGTGCGCTGGGGTTGGGCTTTGAAAGGGTCGGGATTCTGTCCTTATCACTCTAATGACCCCCCATTCTAACCCTCCCTGATTTTCACCTGGAATTCGTTTTTATTCTCTTGATTAGGCCTTCGTTCTTGACAGTACTCTGTTTTTCGTTTTTTTTAATAATATTTTATGTTAATCTGTTTTGTTACCGTAGGTGGGGAGAAAATCAAGACGCGCGGACAGCTGATTGAGAAGAAGATCGATCTCCTCGAAAGCTTGGCTGGCAAGGTACTGTGCGTTAATCTGATCAAGTTTCTACGCTTTGGACCTTTGGAGTCGTACGTCGTCCACTCTATAACTTTCTCTGATTACAACCGAGTCAGTCGTCTGTTTCACTCTGTCTTACGTGACTCTGTACTACCAATCTTCAAACATGAAATATCAATATTCTTTAAAAATTAGCTATTCTATTGTATATCTGTGTTTGCATTGAAATTAACTTTGGTAATTCACTAAACGTAGGAATCTGGTAATCTATAGCCTTTGTGAGCTTTCCTTAATTCAGTTAATTTTTAACCCTGCATATGTTTTAGTTGTGAATTCTCTGTAACCATATTTACCATCACCGATATTGTAAATGGTGCTCAGTTTTTTTTTTTTTGGTCTTCTTCGTTGTAGTTCTTTGCCGATTTGCTTTACAGTTCTTAATCAATAGTTATGCTTTATCTGGAAGAACTTATAAATTAATTCAAATTTTATTTCATTGAAGGACATTTTCTTAATCAAACTTTCGCCCCTTCCAACTGAAAGGGCTCTTCTGACATTTCAAATTGCATCACCCCGAAGCGATTTTACTTGTAATTTTGCGTGCAACTGTTTTGTAAGAAAGGAGTAGATATTGCCATGGGACACATAACTTCTCTATGCTTTAACCGTTTCATTTCCTTTGCTCAGTGCAAAGCACAACACTGCTGGCATCTGGTTTTTCACATCTTTGATGGCCAAGCTTGCTCTGACTCCTAGTGTAACAGGTGACAGCTGGACAGTTATCTCTTGAACATGAAGTTAGATACGGTAATCATGGGTGATTCTGTGTGGAGATAGCCATGACTATAGCGACTACTTCTGATTCCTGCCTCTAACCTATGCTTCACCGAATTCTTTGGTCATGTTCCAGTCCCTTGAAACGAGGGCACAATGTGTGATCAAGTGATTCGCTGTCTTTCAAGAATACATTGTTCAGAAATTGTCTCTTTTTAGGTGAATCGAGTCAATATTATAAAATCAAATCGGCACAACACTTAATTATAAGAACAGTAATAGAAATGTTAAGAAGTTTCTTTTTATCATCTATTAAGTTGATAAAAAATTATGAGAATGAAATCAAGATATCGATAGAACCTTGTCACTATTGCAATCTGTATGTACTTTTCATTCTCTATATCTTTAAATGGATCATACTGTATTTTTCAACATAAAGAAAGGTAAACACGTGGGTGTTTGAACCGGAAACCACAGAGTATTGCTCCCGTTTTCTGCCTTCTTCTTAAAATCATTATTTAATACATAGAATAACTAATATCGTGCAAAGATAGAGTATAAATCTTTATTTTAAGCATTAGTTGGGCGCATAAAACCGTCCTTCTAGGATTCTTTTATGTTGCTAGGCCTGAAATGTTTATCTTTGTTTGTATTCGATTGGATGAATTATCCAGCGTCATATTCCCTTGACGTAGTATGTTGATAATTTTTCGTGTTAACAGGTTAGTAATCAGAGATCACGCAGATGGTTAAATGATCGTTTATTGATTGAGCTTGTTCCACGTTTGAATGCAGAAGAAATTAGAGGCCTTTTTGCTCCACCACCATGGGGTAAAAATTTATTATATAGAATAATTTATGGTTTTATTGGTTGTGCTTGTTATCGTATTGTTCACTGCTAGCCCAAAAGCCTGCATAATTTTCTTTTACAATCAGTCTGCGGACATTCGATTTCTTAAGCAAGTGCCGAAGTTTTCTTGAAGGTTATAGTTTAACTTTCTAGTTCAGAACTGATTATCACCAAGGTAGCCTGAAGATCAAGTCCTGGGGTAAAGGTAGCAGAAAAGCTGAAATGCCAGGGCAAGGGGAGAGTATACAAGAATATTAAAAGAGGAAATATATATATATATATATAAAAGAAATCTTTTACACTACGTAGTTTAAGTTTAGTAATCTATATACACCGATGTGCTTTTAACTCAGAATGTCAAAAATGCGAAGGAAAGGCACACACATGGGGAGAATTAGCTCTCATTCTAAGGCGTCTGTTCCTTTGTATAACCGCTCACTGTTAGATTCTTCTAATACAAAAACTTCAGTTAATGCAAATTTGGCCTTATTATTTATTTGACATAGGAGAAATATTCTTGACTATCGTTGAGAAGGCAGACCAAATTTGTATATTTTCTTCAGTTTACAATTTGATAGCATCTGTAGCTAACTGTTATGAAAATTACTGAACTCGTGAGTTGCAAGTTGAATAATTCTTTGACTATTTATTATTATTACTATTTTTACTGTGTCCATTCTGGGATTGGTTGTTCAGTCGTTTATCTAGAAAATATTGTATTCTAAGAGGGTCTAGGAGTCGCTTCATCGCAAATATTGTATACGAGATCTGGCTGTTAAGCACCTCATCCGTTCGTAATTTCTAGAAACTTTTATCAGTGAATTTATTTTCTGTGTATTGTATTTTTTTATCCGATTCTTTTTTTTATTTTAAGAAAGTTGGTACTTTTTCTCCTGTAGGCGATGAAGTACCATTGTCTGCATTATCTATGACCAATGTAGGCGAGTGGGATTGTTTCAGAAACATTGACATGGACAAAGAGGTTTGCTATTCCCTTTTTCCAGTTAATGATTCTGACATGCATGCCTCTCAAAAAGGTTCATGATTTTCGTGTTCCTCAGATTCTCTGTTTCACTAACTCAGTTCTAAAGTTGACCGCAAGATCCTTCATAAAATCGAATCCTTCTTGAAAATTTTCTGACGAGAATTAATAAACATGCCAAGTTCACTGATTACTACCCCCATCAGACAACTGTGGTCCATTTTCTGTCAGAATTTTTCTATTTTGTATGGCTGCCGACAATGATCCTCCCCCAGAGAATGTTGCAGTAGAAAAATGACAAAATACGAAGAACTTATGAGTAACCTATCTTCCTGTTAATCCCATGACCCTCGGCGACAATGAGGATCCGTGCTATCATTGTCCAGGTCGACTGTCATATCTGGGGAGTAGATATGTTTCACTAATTCAGTTCTAAGATGTACTTTTGTTGCTTGCAATGAGTCCCAGATTAGTGCAACAGCTGATGGGATTTCTGAATTTCTGTTGGCGCTTGAATGTTTCAGACGAGGATGATTGAAGGCCTGGAGACCTTCATGAGAAAGCGAGAGGACCCTGCGGCCGCCGAGAAGGCCATTGCACTGCGCGCATGGCACAGAATAGACCGCCGGACACGAGAAGCCTTGAGGCGTAATTTCCTTCCGGATCTCGTTCAGAGTTACGAGGTAGTAGATGACTGCTGTTTGAGATTTTCCTTCTCTCAGAGATGCATCTGAAAAGCCTTGTTGGGGCTCTCCTCTCTTCAGAAATGCCTCCAGGAGTTCATCAGCGGCAGTGGGGACGGAGAGGCGATGGTGCTCCATGTCCAGGACCCCTTCCGTAGACTGGTGCTCCACGGCGTCTGCGAGGTGCGGCCTCCTCACCTTCCCAAAACTCTTCTTCTTCTTCTTTTTCTTCTTCTTCTTCTTCTTCTTCTCCTCATCCTTGTGGTTCTTCTTCTGGGTTTCCTGCTCTCTTGTGCTGGCAGTTCTACGACCTGGTGTCGGTGACGCAGACAAGCACCGGGGAGGGGAAGGACTGGAAGATGACGACGATAAGGAGGAAGAAATCGGGGTCCCAGAGGATCCCTCCCAACGTCACCATGGCAGGTTTCATGAGGGCCGCCAAGCAGCACGGGGCATCGTAGACCCACTCCCACGCCAAGCACGAGGTTCTTCTCTTCCCTGGTTGTAGATAGTAAGTTCCTTCTAGATTTGTAAATTCAAGAAGACCCATGATTGGTAGATATCTGCTGCTGCTGCTGAGTTGACTTGTAGCCTTGAATGCTCCTCTCGTTGGTTCCCGTTGACAGCATTTTGCATATTTTCGATACATTTTTTTCTATGGTTATAGATTGGGATCTATAATCCGTTGCAGGTCGTGGTGGGCACATGTGCATTCTTGAATGGGTTCTAAGAACGAAATAATTAAATACTCTCCAAAGTCAACGCTGACCAATTTGGTGTCTAGAGCCCGGCAGAAGTCAAATCCGACGTTGTGGGTTCACTTTGACTGTACTATGCATTTTTGCGATTAATTTTTACTATGGTTGTAGATCCCGGTTGCTTGTGGTGGGCACATGTGCTTGAATGGGTTCTTACGACGACATAGTTAGATAGTCTCCAAAGTCAACGCTGACCAGTTTGGTGTCTTGAGCCTGGCAGAAGTCAAAACCGACGTTTTGGGTTCCCTTTGACTGTATTATGCATATTTTCGATTCATTTTTCCTATGGTTATAGATCCCAGTTTCTTGTGGTGGGCACCTGTGCTTGCGACTGCATTCTTGAGTGTGTTCTTACAACGACATAATTAGATAGTCTCCAATGTCAACGCTAACCAGTTTTGTGTCTTGAGTCGGGTAGAGATCAGATCCGACATTATAAAGTGGGCTCCTCCTCCCTACCCCCCCGTCGGCCTGGCTAGCCTGGCCTGCGGTGTCTCATGGCTGAGCTTGAAAGGTCAGCAGCAGCCACAGGCTCTCCCCATTGATCTGGATCCTCCAGGACATCCATGTGGACGATTAATTGATTATATATATGTATCCAAGAAAGCTCCTCCTGTGGTCATCCATGGAGGAGCCCCTCCTCCCGGTGGCCTACCCGGAGGCGGAGGCCAGCGGCGGCGCCGCTTCGCAGATCTCGTCCTCGGTCGTCGCGGTGCGGCTCACCACGTTTGTCGTCTTCGCGGTCCTCTCCCTCTGGGCCAACCACGAGGCCTCCAAGGGCTTCCAGGTCGCCGTCCTCAGCGGCGGCGGGGGCACCGCCGCTGCCCCGCGGTTCGACCTCATGTTCGTCTCCAATGGGCGGGCGGCGCGTGCCCTGCTCTCGGCCAGCGGGGCGGTGGAGCGCGTCCTCTTCTCCGGCGCCGGCGAGAGGAAGCGCGTCGACCGCGTCACTCTGCAACTCGCTCCGGCGGAATTCTCCGGCGACGTCGCCGTACTGCGCGGAGGCCCCGCAGAGAGCGAGTTCACTCTTCAGCTCAGCTCTCGCGTCGTCTTCTCCTGCGACGGCGGTTCGGCCATGGCGGCGGCCCTCCGCCGGGGGATGGCGGAAGTCTGGCTATGGGACGGGCAAGGGGCGGCGCCGCCGGACCTCCTCGACGCGATGGCGGAGTTCCTGTCGGCGCCGCAGGGGGCCGCCGGCGGAGGAGCGGCGGCGAGGCTCGTACGGCGGTGCGAAGGAGACAGCGGTGGTGGCTTCGTGGCCCGTCTGAACGTGGCCATGAAGGGCCGGTGGCGGCCCGAGATGGTGGCGGAGGCGGTGGGCTCCTCGCCGGCGACGGCCTGCAGAGCGTCGGTATCGTCGGCCGTGGAGAGTCTGGGATTGGAGACGACCGTCGGGCGTGGACCGGCGCCGCGGCGGCACGTGATGCTGGGGGCCTCGGCATGTGGGTAACGGGCTACCCACCACCCCCCTGGAAGCGAGAGAGAGAGAGAGAGATAGAGAGGGGAGATATTGGGCTTCATTATTAATATGGGCTCGGCCCAAATATAGGTCGGGCCTTTCGAAGTTGACCAAATAGAGGTCTGCATGGACAGTGGGGGCATTTCGTTCGTTCCCTCCGTAAAAAATTAGACCGTTGACCAGCAGCGTAATCATTTATCCCTCAGATAACGCATACGGATTTTTTATAAAAAATCCACTGCTGGACCCGTTTAGTTATAATAATAATAATAATTAAATTTGGAATCGATCTCATTAAATGAAAATATGAAGATTTTTCAGAATATAATTGAATTGTAGAAAATTATAAAGACGCGTTGAATAGCTGTTTCTTAGATGTCCGCGGAAGTTTCCGAGGGAAGGGTCTCCTCTGCCCCCTTCTTCCTCCCTTCTCCGGTTCCAGCAATTCCCTCTCTGGACTCCGTCGCAGATCCCTCCCATATCCGGATCGCCGCCGCCGGCCGGCAGAAGGGTAGGCGGCCGCCATGGGCCACGGGTGGAGCAAGAGATTGGACGACTGGATGTTCCCCCAGCGGTACCAGTACAACCTTCCCCCTCCTCCGCCTCGGCCACCTGTTATAGCTCCCTCCCAGATGCCCTCCTCTTCTCCGCAGCCCCCATCTTCCTCGGCCGCCTCCTCCTCCTCCTCTAACCCTTTTCCTCCTCCCGCCTCGTCGAATACTCCCGTCTCCGCCTTCTCGCCGCCTCCGCCGCCGCCGCAGCAGCGCTATTTGTACGCGGCCAACGCTCCTTACCCCTCGGGGGGTCCTTGTTACCCCCATAATCAGGGGGGGGCTTATCCGTCGGCGGTGCCTTACCCCGGATCGCAGCCAAATGGGTACAGCTTCTATTATCACTACCCGCAAGGCGGCAACGGGCACCCAGCCGGGTTTACGGGAAGGTCGAATTACCAGTATTATGCCGTAAATCAGGGACCTGTTTGGTGGCCGCCACAGGCGCCGATGCCCTATCCAGCTTCCTCCTCTTCCCTAATGGTGCCACAGCAACCGCCACCGCCGATTGTGGAGCACCAACAGGCAATCACTATAAAAAACAACATTAATCTGCACAAGGACACAATCTTACTCCAGAGAGATGAACAGAATCCCGATCACTGGCTCGTCTCCTTCACCTTTGATGCCTTGCTTGACGGGAGGTTAGTCTATTCAGCAACTTCTATTTTTGTCCTTTTTTGTGAGAACTTTTTGGTTGGCAGTTGTGAGCAAGGGATAGAAATTTTTAGAAGACAAATCTCTTGATGATTACGCAAAGTAATTAATAAGTGTAATCCACTAAATGATGATTAAGCGTCTCCAACATGACAGTATGCTATCACATAGATACTCACCTATCTAACGTTTGCAAAGTGGCGCATTTAATCTGTAGCCCTCAATGACTCAGAAAAATTGAAACTTGAGACATTATTTCATGTCTGTGATCGTGATAGACGCATTTTTGAACCGTTCAGTTCTGAGGGATTCTTTCTGCTTGCGGTTTGCCATATTGTACTTTTTTTTTGGTTACTTTCTGATGCTGAACTGCCATAGAAAAATCATATGTGGTAGTTGGTCAACTGTATTGGTATTATTTTCTTTTCCTTTTTATTTCTTCTCTTGTTGGAGGGGTGTGGTTTCATGCATCAATGTTGATATTCGCTGCACAAACAAAAACACGTTTGCACATCATCGTGTGATCCTAGTAGTTACAGTGACTGAGGAGATGACCCACTATTTCTCTGCCTAGATGATGCCTACCTTTCCTTAAGGCTCCAACAAAATTCATGATGTATAGTATCAACTACTGGTTATAGGTATAAGTTGAATAGGAACTATTCCCACATGTATAAGTTGAATAGGAAAAACTTCCAATTTATGAATTCGTATCGAACAGTCCATTGCCTATGGTATAAAAGTTTAAGCAACTCATTTTGGATCATATATGAAGAGATTCTTTATTGGATTTGAATCCTTTTTATGTGTTTGGCGAACGTCTCACTGTTCTTGCTTAAGAGCTTCAAGTGTTGCTTTCATGATGATTTATTTCCAATATAAGTACTGAGCGTTTGCAAGGGTTTCGTTCATTATTTATGGTTAATTTCCATAAGCTTTTATCTTCTATCAATCTTTTAGGTCCACGCTCATCCAGAGTTCTTGGGATGATAATAATGAAAAAGAAAACTGCCATATATATTTCACTAGAACCAATTTTCAAAAAATGACAGAATTGGGGACACCTTTAAAACAAACAGAAAGTGTTTTTCTTGTTATGCACTTAGTAGGAATCTTAGAGTTAATCTTCTGATGCTACTCCTCGTTAACAATGGAAATGACAATATCCAACATCCATAAAGCGGGAGTGATTTGGAGGTTTATATCCTAAAAAAATTTCAACAGATATCACACAGTAAAAATGAGGATAAGTGGATTTAAGGAACACATGTGGTGATAAAGTTCGGTAATAATTGGTTTTAGATGCTTAGACTTCATGGTTCAGCAGTCAATCTCCAGCACTCCTTGATTAGAGGGATGTAATGATCTGTTTGTAAGGCGGCCATGGGTAAGGCCTCACATGAAATGTTTCATAAGTCGTCCCATTTCTTCTTCACAATGTAGGAAAATGTGGCCCTTTCATGGATCTTAGACTCCTTGCTGTTTTATTTTCTAATTATTTCTTTAATTTGTGGATCATATTTATATGCAATCTCCTTTCAGTAGCATTATTCTCTTTTTGACATTTTTCCGTTTATAGAATTCAGCAAACCAAGCAACTTTCTAGATTACAAAGCTCTCATTTTGGATGACACTCTAATGTGCCTGTCAACTTATCTGGATTAAAAAAATCCACATCTGGAAATGGGGATTACCTTCAATTGAGAAGTTAATTGTCAGGGCTCTTCTGTTTCGTTCTTTTCTTTCTCCTGTTTCTTTTTGTCCATTCTAATATCCTTTGCCCGCTTGTAATTAAGTTAGATAAAGTGGAGTTCAGGCTTAATCTGTTAGAATAGAGAGATTAACTGTTGCTCTTCCCATCTCCATTTGCGTAGAGAAGATGGAGGAAGGATTTAGAATGGGAGAGAGTACAGGGGAGAAGGAATGAGGTGCAGCCTTCCCACTTTTTTTCATTTTCTATTTAGTTCCATTTAGAAGGGAATGTTGGCTCTGGGCATCTTTCACATTTTTAGAAATGGGAGGGGGGAGGCGATACTGTTTGAATGGGGGCTACAATGTTTTGTTTTCTTGCCAGATGGGGTGTGTGAGTTGAGCAAGACTGCCCGGGAGAGAAGGGAGAGAGTGGCTGCTATAGTCTGTGAAGGGAGGATCTCACTGCTCTGCCAGAGCGCTCCAATCCCCTAGTCCGTGGAAACAATTGAGATTAGCTACAAGAATCCCCGACATTGGTGGCATGATTGGGTTCCCAACCGCTATGGCTACAGCCATGCTCCTTTTGCTCACTGCAGCTGCAGCTATTGCACTAGCTTCAGCGAGCTCATTGCTGGTGTTCACAAGATACGGGTGGAGCGTGGCAAGTAAGGAGGTATTTTCAGGTTCTTTGACATGAGCTTCTGGCAGCCAAAGTTTATTCATAGCCATAGGTGTAGGGTGGGAGAATTCTGGGGTGATACAGGATGAGGTTTGTGGGCAGTAGAGAGTTTTTTGGGAGGGGGGGTATTGTGAGTTATGAGTCAAATTAACACGTTGGGTTATCTCATAACCCTAGTTGAGTCGTTAAGTTGTATTTGTCTTGTAGGAATTATTGGAGTTTATCCAAAATTTACATTCCTGAGGACTTATAATCAAAATAAAGGACTTTTCATATTTAATAGGGATCTGAAACCAAGCGACCCATTTCAAAAAATGTGAAAGTTTACGTTTCGACTTGATACATGTCATATCCCTCATTATTCTCAACTAAATGCGATTCAATCCAATACTAACGTTATTGACCTCAGGATATTGCCACCCAGAGAATAGAAAACAAATAAATTGGGTAACAAAACATTTTGATTTAAAACGGAAGTAATATTTCTCTCTCGACCAAGAAAGATGGTGTAATTTCGTTGAACTCAGTTCTTATGGCCTTATTCCGCAGAGATGTCCTTTATATATAAATCAAAGATAAATGAAATTACTATACACATATAACGTACAAAAAATCATAAAAATATATATTATCTTAATTTTATAAGAAAAGACATGCATGTAAAAATATGAAAATTACAAAAATATTGTTCAAAAGAATGACGAATTAACTATTTTCCATTTATGCTCAAGTGTCAACTTGGGTTGGGATCTTGTTCTATCGTATGATCCGGCAGCATTAATGCATCACATTGCCTGTTCCTATAGCCTCACACACTATGAAACATGTCACATCAGCCAACTGTCTTAGTGTTTCATGAGGCAAATTCATGACAGAATGGTTTATAGGGACATACACACTCTGTGTCTGGGCTGATCACCTTGGGGATGTCTTAAGAACCATGGTACAATAAATGGGCTAATGGATTGCTATCTTGTATTCATTAGTCTTCCTGAAAACATTAAAAATTCAATCAAATGAAGATTTGACAAAATCTTGATTGGACTAATGCAGTTAATCAGTTCTCAATTTGGATGCTGCCCTCCTATTACTAGATTGACTAAAAGTTTTTTAATCTGAAATAATCTATTTGACTCTTTACTAAATTTACTGTCTCAACCAAAAAACTTGCTAATTCAATGTTCATATTATGTTTTATTGCTCTTTGTATTTGAACCTTCTTTTCCTGAAAATATCCCTTATTTCAAATTATTCATCAAATTTAATTTTGTTTTCTTCCCACTCGTAGAAAACTCCTTCCCACTGCCCCTTATGTAGAAATACCTTTGGCTAGCATATGCCCAATCCTTGTTTTTACTCTGTTACCTAGTCCATTTGACTATTTATCATTCAGCTCTAGATTTCTTGCAATATTCCTCTTTTAAGGATCTTTCCTCAATGATTCTTCCATATTGTGAAGATGCCTTAACACGATGATATTCTTCACAATATTTCTCTTTCAAGTATTTTTCCTCAATGATTCTTCCATAATGTGGAGATGCTTTAAGACGATGATACTCAAAATTTGGCATAGGACTCGTGCAGTGAAACATGACTGAAGTTACCATAATTAGGTCCTTTTATGGCCCCATCCTGGGTGGACAGAACGGCAGACAAATAATAACCTGTATCAAAGATGCCTTTGAGAACTAGTGCGTTATCTGATATTTGCTAAAAAATAAGATAGGCATTTATATGTTTTGATCACTATTTTAATGATCTATTATATATTATAACAGGGAGGGACACAACTCTTTAAAATATTAAAAATTGTTATGGATTTTTCTTATCAAATGGATAGTCATATCTTGCTTACTAAATGGTCAGTAATTTTCCAACGATATTATATTGACATTATAGCATCGCATTCATCTTGATTGTGGGATATTAGAACCTTTGTGAAGTCTAAAATATCTTCTGGACATGTGAGAGTAGTTGGAAAATCGGCTTATCCTAGTCGATGGTGACAAAATCATATGGGATCATGGGTTCCTGATCTCATTAATCCATCTATTTTTTTCTGGAGGGTAGACTGGCTACTGCTTGAGGAAGAAGGCAGTCGCAACATTAGCAGATGGTGGGAAGTTGGTTGGAAAGAATTAGGACGAAAATTTACTATGCCCACTGTCAGTGCCATCCGCTCCTTACCTATCGGCAGCTTGGATTGACTTAAAAAGTATCATATATTTATGTTTTTTCTATTTGAAAATTTTATAAGTATTTGTATAAAATTGAAAGTGTTATTTTGATTTTATTTTAACCATGTTGGTCGTCTTGTCCCCTAGGGCCAGTTGACTGGTCTGCCTGGATTTCTATCTGCATCACATTGAGCATAGGTCGCCAAGAGTTTAATCCTTCCATGAATATTCACGTTGCTGATCTGTTCAGGAGTTCTTTTTATTCAAAGCAGGTTCTTTTTATTCTACTACCTGTACCTTTACTAAGCTTGTGTTTTTATTTGCAGCATCACAATATACTACTTTGCTAAAGAGGGAGAGAAATGTAATATCTTGCCTATGGATCCTGACATTTACACTCCTGTGACGGAAAACTTTCAAAAAGGGATTGGACAGAAATTTTGTCAGTCATCAGGTCATGGGATTGATCTTGGATTCTTTGAGCTGGATGCCCTTTCAAAGCCGTCTCAAGAGGATGTCTTCCCGCTTGTTGTAAGTGCCAAGACATGGGCAGAGGCGACACCCACCACTGACGAGCAGCATCAGAGTCCGGCACATTCTGGGGCACAAATTACACAAGCCGTGATAGAGAAAACTAATGACGACAAATTAAAAGTGAAGGTGATTAAGCAGATATTATGGGTTGATGGCGAGCGATATGAACTGAGGGAGATTTTCGGCCTTGCAAGCAGTGCAAATGATGATACCAATGGGGATGATTTGGGGAAAGAATGTGTGATATGCATGTCTGAACCGAGGGATACTGCTGTCATGCCTTGTCGGCATATGGTAAGCTCTGGATCATTATGTTTTTATACCTTTTTGGATAATTATATCCCTCTGCTTCTGAGGCGTGATTCCTCTTTTTTTTTTTTCTTTTTTCCCTTCATTTCAGTGCATGTGTCGTGAATGTGCGAAAACATTTAGGCTCCATTCAAGCAAGTGCCCAATATGTCGCCAACCTGTTCAAGAACTGATGGAGATAAAGGTAAATAATGGGAACTCATTGGGACCCAAAGCATAAGGTTGTAACCTGTGAAAGGTTGTTCTTCAATTGTAGTCCACTTTTGGGGTGGATTCTGAAATTTTTCATTTTATTGTGCATATATCCTATTACAACTACCTGCTTTTGCTGTGTCACTGTGACATAGTCTTCACGATTAAAAAGTGCCAGTAGTTGTTGTATATCCTCCACAAACCCTTCCTACTACAGTTGAATGAAATTTCTTAAGATAGATTATCTCTGAAACATCAGTGATGCTTAGTTAGGTCTGTGGCTCTCTTTTCCTGATATGTCCATTCTTCTTTGGTCCAGACCTTGGATTTACTCTGGAAGTGGCTAATGCCACAAAATCACTGAATATTGCACATCCGATTTCATTCAATTTCATTCACTTTGGAACTAAATATGCTTGAGTGTGTTAGTGTGTGACCCAAGAGCTCTCATAAAGAGCTCTATGCATGTCATCATCCTTGGATATTCCATTGGAGTTGATGATCAATTGGTCTAGGCGAAAAAATGGAGTGGGCTCCAAAACATTTTCTACATTTTTGAGGTTCCCATAAAATCTTGACATTTATCTGGGGAGACGGACAACCAAAATAAAGAGCCAAGTGACCTAAAATAACATGATGATATATCATAGTCTTCCCATTGTCACTTTGCCATCTGAACAATTCACATACTTGCAGGCGAAAGAAGGCACTGTGTTGTCTTTTGCCCATCTTTGTTGTGTGAAGATGAAGATGGCTCCATCTTGGCTGAAGTTGATCATTGTGGGTAGGGGTATCGTCATTGCATATCTAGGTTCAGGTAGAGTAACTGTCAAATATCTTCTAAGAGGAAAGCTCAAGAAGGATTAAGATTTTCAACGTTTCATCTCTGCAAGGTCTAGACGCATCAAGAATATTATTTGTAAAAAAATGCTGACTGATAACGATTGAAAGTCTACTTTGTGACACTTTCAAGCTGAATTCGTTTTAATTAACAGAAAAAGGGGGACTCCAAAATTGTATCTAGAGTTTAGTAATTACATATTAAAACGAAAGTGTATACAATTGGTCACTTTGCAAATACACTCTCAGAGGAGTCTTCAGTCACTGAACTCTTCATCTTTTTGGTTCATGCCATATATTGACAATGATATTGCTCTTCTTTTCTTCATTGTAAGAGAGGCCTATTCGGTAGAAAGCTTGAAATCTTGTATTGTTTTGAAGAGGCGCCGGCTCTCTCTCTCTCTCTCTCTCTCTCTCTCTCTCTCTCTATATATATATATATATATACACACACACACACATATATTGAGCAGGGAGAAAACTTGAAAAAAACCACAAAGCCACAAATTTGGTTTTACTGTTTGGTGTGCGGTTTGGTTAATTACAGTACATGTAAAACGCATCATTGTAGACAAAAGGAAAGAGATTGAGAAATATTGCAAGAAAATTGATAAAAAAAAGGGTGAAAAAAAAATACTTGTCAAATAGTGGAGCGAGAAAATCAGCATGCGTAGTAGTTTGATCCCTCTCATCCATCCAAGTCTTCACCTTCTTAGCCTCTCTTCTAATGAGTTCGGACGCCCTGTACAAGTCATTTCTAGGGCTTCAGATGAGCCTAATGGGACAATAATTTCTTCAAATTATCAAGATTTAATCTCTTCAATCTAATTTTGAATCCTTAGGATGCATGGGTGGGTTGTTTCAGAGGCGTTAACTTTCGAGAGGTTTTTACTATTCCTTCAGCACATGACAAAAGGGAACGAAGTGGACAAAAAGCTTGATAGTTTAAGGCGCCGGTTAGGATACGATAGTATATGTCAACGGCCTGTACTTTCATTCGACCGAAAATCAATGGAATTATTAGGCAAATATGCCTAGAAAAAAATTTCAAACCTTTATCCGTAAAAATCTAATAAAACATTCATTTTCTTCTTGATTTCTGTAATCAACAAGCTGAGGAAATTTGATTATTTTGAAAATTTGGTTGAACAGATTGAATGAATAATTTACCATTTAACAACTTTTTTGCCTCGAGCCAATGTCCGAGTACCAGGCGCTACGGCGCTGAAGTAACCCCTGCCTCTGGACACCCTTAAACAAATCAAATAGACTTAGATAAATGGCAAACAGTTTGGGGTTGGAGGGGTAATAGATTAATTTATGATTAATCATGATATAATCCTTTAGTTTTGATTTCTTTTGGGTTTTTTCTCTGGACATCCTTGAACTAATCAAATAGACTTACTCTGATAAATGACAAACAGTTTAGGGTTTGGAGGGGTGTCATAAGTGCGCCCCTCCAAATCTTGGAAGCATCGCCGCTGCCAATAGGGAGGCGCCAATCAGGGGAGTTGAACCCCACCCGCTTGATGATTCCAATAAATTTTTCCTCAAGTGTTCGTTGAATCTATCACTGATGGAGATCTGTCATTGCTTTTGGAGGAAGACAGTATAAAACTCTCATTTTTCATTTAACTAGAGAGAAAGCAGTGTTTATCTATTACACTAATTATCGTTCGATTTTAGTCTCGAAGGAACCATTTGACAAGAAGATTTTAATCTCTCTCTCTGCCTCCCTCCCTCCCTCCCTCCCTCCCGCCCAGTGAGTGCATGTCGAAGACACGGAGATTAAGCAACAAGCTGAAGTTGAATTGACAAGGAGACTCGATCTCTGCTCAAAAACTTTCACAAATTAAAGAGAATGATTACGTATAAAAATATTCTACGTGGCAGATTCATTTACAAGAAGAAGACTAACCTTCGCTTGAAATCTTAACATATTTTTCACTCGGCTGTGCTATACTTTGGGTCTATTCTCAAACCTCAACAATTCATTGTGTGATGATCGTCGAGGCGGAAGCACTGCTGAACTTCCCAAGTGAGCTTGTTCATGCTGATCCGGCAGCCCACGTCAATCTGTAAGCAACATTAAAAGAAAAAACGAGGATAAAATATTGTTCTCATGCTTATATTCTGCGAATAATGCGTCATGTCCGAACTGCGTAATGAAACAGAAGAGAAACAAATCTGCCCCTACTTAAGATGTGTGAAAATTTTATTGTACATTGATAACGTCTATAGGTCATCCCCCGAGTATTCTTTATTAAGATTTCTTGATTTTTTTTTCCAGCTCCTTGCTGTAGTTCGAGTGAATCTGTATGTAAGTATGACTGATCTATTGAGGACTCTATTAATGACTGATCAAAAAGATAATCATCCAAATTAGATTGTGATGGGAAAGGTAGTAGATCATTGCTAATATCATTCATAGGTAGTGGTAGAACAAGATCAAAGAATAGAGATCATCCAAGTGTGTCGCATTTGATTTAAAATTGTGAAATAAAAAGATATTTTTATAAAATAAAACATCTTGTGAGATGATGTTCTATTTTGTTTCCAGGTCATAGAGTTTATACTCATTGGTGTCAACGGCTATCCAATAAAAACATATGATTTGGTTGGAGACTTCAATTTTGTTCGATTTCCTTACAATGTAGATGCAAAGGCCCAGCAACCAAACACCCTTCATATAGAGTATTCAATAAATTGTTTATAAAGCAATTCATATGATGTCTGATTGTTGAGAATTGGCGAAGTTAATCTATTTATAAGATAAGTTGTTGCCAATATACACTTTCACCAAAATTATAAACCGGCGAGACGGCGTCAATCCCCGCTACGTTCTCGCTGGATTCTTCCAGGACCTCCTGAAGAGGCTATAGAGGGAGTTCGGGCGGGTGGAGGACGCCTGGCTGGGCACCCTTCCAAGGAGTCTTTGGAAGAGCTGGTGCTGTCTCTCGACTCCAGGCTGGCCGCCGTAGAAGAGAGCATCAGCAAAGCGCAGATCGAGGAGAAACAGGAGACAACAGCAACCCAGATAAGTCAGAACCAGTTGCCTTCAGTTGAGAACCTGCATTCGAAGACGGACATTGACGTGCAGCCTCTTCAGAGCTTCGATGGCACGGAATTCCACAACGCAAGGCCAGAGTTGCTGGAAGATGTCGTTGACTTTAGGGGAACTTCCATAGACATGCAGAGCTGCTCAATGCCCTGGGCCCCCTGAGGACCAGAGCCGGTGAAATTGGTAGTGGATGCCCCTCCATAATTTCTCGCTGTGCTCTGCCGGCGACCGATATACATTGTAGGCGGAGAAACCGCCGACCTTCGGCCCCAATCTGAACCGAGTTGCGGATGATTGACACGATGTAAATGAGAGTTCGACACACATAAACACATTCTGCACGCCACTCGGTCCCTGATTGACGCGATGCAAGCACACAGAAACATGGTTGTATTCCTTCTCGTGAAGCCTTTTTAATTGTCATGTCGTGTAGGTCCAGTGGAGCGATGTGGTCGTGGAACCTTGGTAGTCATTTGCATGGGAGGGATACGACCGAGGAGGAAAACCCAAGGCCCGGGCAACTGGAGCCGGACCGGTCTGTTGTACCTCGGTGACCGGCGGGAATCCTCCTTGCAACGGTCACAAGAATTCTCCCGCCTTCGGCTCCCGCGCAAACTCTCCCATTCGAAACTCCACAACGGGCGGGAGATCTCCCCAACGGTCGGTAGATCCCGGCCACAGAGGGCGGGAGCGCGGAGGATATAACAGAAGGAGTGGGGGGGGCGGGGACGGCCATTGAGTTCAAGAACTCATTCCTTCTCAGCTCCCTCCTCCCACCAGATAGATAGATGGCTTCGACTTCCGCAATGGAGAGGGGTGCCAAGCGCAGGGGGAAGAAACCTTGGGCAAGGAGGGAGCAGGGTCTGAAGAAGAAGGCCGCCGAGTTGTCGACGTTGTGCGGGGTCGACGTCTTCTTAGCCGGCTACAACGATGAAGGAGAAGATTTCTTCATCTGGCCGCACGACATGAAAGAAGCGGAGCGCATCGCCGATCGGCTAAAGGAGCAGCAGGGAATCGGCGGCGGGCAGGGCCCAGGTGGGAAGAGAAAGAGGGGGGCTTCCACCTCTGCCCCCAACACTGCTTCGAAGCGACGGAAAGGGGACTCCAAGGCGGCCGTTTGTCCCCAGAATTCCGCCGCCGAGAGACCTGTGCAGAAATCCGACGTCGAGTTCTGTCTGGATGTCCTAGACAAAGAAGAACCGATGGCCTTCTGGAGAGAGATTCTCGAGATGACTTCGGGCAGCAGCGGCGCGATCACCAACGACTTTGGAGCGGCAGCGGGGGCAAACGCTATTCGTCCTACAGGCCGAGCAGAAGCCACCACCGGGATCGCGGTAGCCGCCGGACTCCCCTCCATGATCCCTCCTCTGTTCCCGCCTCATGAGATCTCCGACGACCTCCCAGTGGAAGCCGGCTGGGGAGCCTCGCCGTGGAACGGGGAGTATGTGCGAGATTTATCAGCGGGGAGCAGCTGGCCGTACTTCCAAGAGCCGCTCGTCGCGGACGAGGCCTTCCGCAGTCCTTCACTGGAGGAGCTCCTCTGGGGGGTACCTTCAGTGTCCGGCGGACATGCCCTTGAAATGGAGGCGCAAAGGAGCTATCTGTGCTCATGTCAGGCGGCGATAGGCGTTCCCGGGGTGATCCCCTTCCTTCCTCCTCTTCTTCCTCCTCATCCAGCAGCTTTTTCCTTTTCTGCCGCGAATCCGGGGTGGGCGTATTTCTAGGATCACGCGGCGGAGCATTGTGAAGCAGTCTGCTGTAAACCCCTGGGACCGACCCAGTCCGACTCCAGTTCTTGTCAGGCATTGTTGTAAATCAATACGAAGCATTGATGTAAATCAAGATGTCTTTTCTTCGCAAACCCCATAGTCTCCCCCACGTCGCTCTTATGGGTTTGACTTCCGAGCAGAGTCCTCCATTGATTAAAGCTCCATTAGGGACCCAAATCTGGCTCGAATAGTTTTCCAGTCTCCGCCATGCTCAGCCAGAAGAAATGCCCACTGCATGTGGAGAGCGGCCGTAAAGAACAAGCTTGAATGAGGTTGGACAGAAATGCGCATGGCTACTGACCTGTTCAGGTTGCAGAGCGGCATTTAAGCAGCTGGATGGACATTGCTAAACACCACACAGAAGATCAATTTGCGGCCGGCATCTAACGAGGTCTTTGTTAGCTGCAGAGTAAGCAGAAGGCAGCGGTGGGTCGGGGAAGGGAAGCCGTCACTTGTGGATTTAGGGAGAGAAGAAGAGGGAGGGGGAGAGACAGTAGGTGGGTTGAAGGGCCAGCTACTGGGAGCTTACAGGCTAGTCTCGTTGTCACCCATTCTTACATCCTAGCCAGATCCCTGCTAGATCACTGCTGGCGTCTAATACCTGATGATCTTGTCGGTTTCAGGGAGAATGGCAGAGGAACCAAGACAGGGGTCAATTGGGAGAGAAATGATCGAGCAATCCGAAAACAGAGTCGTCTCCTACTGTTAAGACAGAGAATCCTGCACAAGAGTGAAAATGTCGACACTCAAATGCATCGATTTCAAGCTGAGGTGCAGTAACTGACGTGTCCGCCGCTACAGGAAGAAGAGTAGTTGTTTGCGGCAGCACGTGAGACTAATCTGAATGGTATGGCTCTTATCGGCTCAAGGTGAAGGTGATGTGACAAGAAACCGCTGCGCGATAGAATGGATGAGAGACAGGTCGTGCAGTGGGTTTAGAATGTGGAAGATCAATCAATCAAGTGAGGGAAATGATGGGGTCTGCTTTGAGATTATCCCTCAACACATACAATTAGTCGATTCACTTCGGCTTATCAGCGGATTAACAGAAAAAATCACAGCTTCGAGGAGTGTGATCACAGACATCTCAATCCACTTGAAAACAAAGCTCAGTGACTAAGAAACCATTGATTTAACAAATGGTGTCTGCCTGTCAGAATCATGACTAATTTTCACCACTACTGATATTTTATGTACAAAGCATTTTACTGATTAGGTTCTAACGATCGCATCTAATGAATACAAGCTGAATTTCAGGATTGAAAATTCACGAGTTAATAATTCAAAATCAGCGTTTCAGAGACAGTGTATGCGAACCATCTACAATTATTTCAAACTAAAATTCAGAATTCATGACACAAATTTAACAGTCTCTGTTTGAACATATTTCAAAAATTGGAACTTCAATAGTCAATGCCCACTATGCCCACTGAATACAGAGTACACAACTCGTGAGTTCCATGGTATTTAGAATTATTTAAAGATCAGAAATTATCAGATAAATATCTCTTGACTGCATAGAAATCTTTTACTCATAGAAATCTTCTTTCTCGCCATAAATACTTCACAAGATGGTTATTGTGTAATCAATGCCCATGGATTGTATGTAATCAACTCAGACTAAAATTAAACTTTATAATTCTTAAATTTAATAGTCCTCGAAGATATTTCAGGATCATCAATTAATATATTAATCACTCTTCGCTACACCACCATTTCAAACTAAACTAAAATTTATAATTCATACCGGAAAGCCATATTCATTCCAATCTGTCTCATAATAAGATTAAAATCGAATCTTTATTATGCTAATTTTTTGTCTCAATAAAATGCAGTTGTCTTGTTTTTCTATTGATATGATCTCTAATAAATTAGATCCATATTATTTGTCCTGTAGTATATGTCAGGATTTAATTCTAGTTTTTTTGCATTGGTACTATCAGATAGAATTATAATTTTATTCATTTGATTTCACAATCTTCAAGTCGAGATTTTATTGAGAAATGTTTTTGGCAGCATAGTGCAGCAGTGATGTATTCAGGTTCAGTTGTGGGCAAGACAATTGATTCTCGTTTTCCTGAGGACCAAGAAATCATGTATCCTGCAAGGAAAATGCGAGTGCCATTTGTGCTGTTTCTATAAAAGACAACAGAATCATTCAAAGCCCGCTAAATTGAAATACTAAATTCCAAGCTCGATGATTGAAGGTAAATAACGAAGAGTGAATTTCATTACAGTCAACCGTGATTCTTCTCATAGGGAAATGCTATTAAATTTTTTTGGTATACTTGCTGACAAATAGAGCAGAAAGCCAGTTATAAGAGTTTTTTCTCAATTTATTTTCTATGGTAATCCAAATCTACAGAGAGATTTCAATCCATTCATGTTGAATTTCTTTAAAAGTTCATTGGTATATTTTGATTAGGAGATAAGATTTAAGGAAGGAGATCTTCAGCTTTTTGGTGTAAAAGATAAGTTTTAAGTGACTGCAGATCCTGGAGATTCTCCTTCATCTTCCTCTACCTGATTCTCTCCATTGCTATCGGCGACTTGGTTCCCTGTCTCCCCTTTTTTCTATGCTGGTGCTCTCTCAAAGTCGTCTCCTCCGTATGTTATATATATAGATGGACACACAAACACATACAAATGTCAACGTCTGTCTGCACTAACTTTGAAATAATTTGCTGCTCCGGCCTCTTGTTGCCGAGTCTCACAACCCCTCCGATGTCAGTCTTCATCACAGGAGAGACGTCCATACATGTCTCAACGTTTTAAACACCCACAAATCAAAGAGAGACGCTAACCCCTCTCCACATGCCTAAGACGAGTAATCATCAGCACCTTCCACCCGCTGCAGTGCCCTTCTTCGGGGGGAGTTCTGCTAACAAGTTTGTGGTCCATATTGATCTACATGAAGAAGTAGTCTCTTACCTTCGACAAGAAGCCCAAGGATCAACACAAGCTGTTATCTTTTGAGTTCATCCAAAATGAACCCACTGTTGAGGAAGATGAGCGTTCTTGTTCCTTCTTCTAGAATAGCGGACGATTGACGCCAGACACACCATGAGAAAGTGAGGAAGAGAGTCCAAACAAAGAGAACACACCAGATTTAACATGCTTCGGAGAACCCTCCGACGTCCACGTACTTGCTGAAGAGCCTGAGTACTCATCGAAGATTCCAATAGAGCACCACTAGACTTCAACACCCACTTGCATATGCTTCGTGAAAGGCCCCATCCTTTCTTTCCCGTATATTCATCTTGTGAACATCTAAAGATGGCTAAGTCTAGACAGTCTATCTGCTTTGGTTGTAAGACTCGGCTTACATAAATTTCTTGGTCCAAAACAAAACCTTTCTAGGGTTGGGACGATTTAAGAGGAAACATTTTTCGTGGTTTGTGGGTCTCATGAAAGGAAAGTCGCTGACGCAGCCGCTACATAGACTTTGCTAGGTATGTTAAAGTCTTGAAAATGCCACAGCTATAAGAATAGGAAGATCTTTGATCCAAAAGCTTTTACTGTCTTCCAGCAATCCTTTTTTATTTGCCTTGAGAACCTATTTGTGTATTTGACGAAATTCGTTTTCTGATGTACGTCCAATGCAAATTGCCTCGTATAGTAAATACCACTGAAGCGCGCATGGATAACCACGTACGCTTGCCGCCCACCGGCGCATGCTGCTGCTCACTGGCGTTAGGGGCATTAGCAGACCGCCAGGCCGTTGCTTACTAGAAGCGTCCGGCGTGCACGCGCCGCCGTGTCACGCCCACATTGACGCTCGCCGCCTGGCGGCCTTTCCGGACCAGCTGTGTTCAAGGATGAAAGCCGAAGATAGACGGAGAGAACTTCCACAGAGCTGACACCTTCGTCTCTTTGGAGGCAGACGTCTCCGTCACTGCGGTTCTCGAGTCAATCAAGAAGTTGTGATCCCGCATGATGCGTGTAAGTAACACCAGCTAATCTTTGAAGCTTTCCACGAGGGGCCGTGTGGCGGCGTTGACCTTATTAACAGCTTCATACTGTCTCAATGAAGGTTATCGGAAATCGGATCAGATTCTGAAGGCTGCTTCGTCTGACTAGAGCCATGTGCAGGGTACCGATGATTAGGCGACAGGATCAGCCATGCCCTATCCGATCTACTGGAAGCCTCGAAGTCAACTAGAAATAATGCCACAAGCTATGTAGGAATGGGATCCTCTAAGTCATATCGTTGAAATTCAATCTTGATCGTCCGATTCTCCTAACTGTGACCAATGAGAGAGGGAGCGGGTCTTTCCTTTCAACGTTTATGACTTCTCAAACGCGATTTTTGTTTTATACAACGGAACTCGATCTCCCTAGTTTCTGTGCGCGTACAGCTCGCCGAAAAAGTTCACCGACGTAGAAACGTTCACACGTTTTGACGAATTGGATCACCTCGAGTGGGTTTATTCCTCCACCTTCCAAGCTTTGAGCTGGTGTCCCGTCCGACGTGCATCTCTCTCTATCTCTCCCCTACCTCATCCTCCCTCCGCAACCCTTTCCTCTCTTCTGCGCTCGACAAAACATCTAGACCCGCAGTTGGACTAGGATATGGCGGCTGTTAGAAACTCGCCGGAGAGACGACGGCAGTTAAGACGTCGCCGGCGAGATCACCTTCTGAGTCACAGGAAAAACCCAGCAGGAGGAACAAGGAAGACTATCTCGCTCATTGAAAACCTCTTACAGCCCTCTTTAAATAAGGGAGCAACAAAAAGAGAAAAGAAATAACCGTAAGCAATAAGCAACCTGTTACAGCTCTAGGCGGTGTGCCTCGAGACATGTAAGGCTTATGCCGTTACGCGAAACGACGTGGAAGACATGCAAGGCTCCCCGTTCACGACAATCTCCTCCTGAGCCTTGCTATACTTACCACGAACATCAACGAGCCCAATCTTGGCGCGAAACTCATGGAACTTGACTTTTCCGAGTGGCTTCGTCAGAACGTCTCCTAACTGTTCTTCACTCCTGATGAACTCTACGTTGATCTGACCCTTTTCTGCGGATTCTCGGACAAGATGATACTTCACTTCAATGTGTTTGCTATGTCCATGGAGAACTGAGTTCTTGATCAACGCTATGGCAGACTTGTTGTCCACCTTCAGCATCGGCACGCTTGGTGCTGAGCCATGCACCTCTGCTAACACCCGAGCGAGCCACACACCCTGACAGGCAGCATTGGCGGCCGCAATATACTCTGCCTCGCAGCTAGACTGAGCCACCACCTTCTGTTTCATTGACTGCCAAGTAATTGGGCTGTTGGCCAAGAAGAAAATAACTCCAGTCGTGCTCTTCCGAGCATCAACATCACCAGCGAAGTCACTATCGCTGAACCCTGTCAGCTGGACTTGCTTCTCCTTTTTCCTTTCATACCTGAGACCCCAACTCTTGGTTCCCGCCACATAGCGGAGAATTTGCTTCACAGCAGCCAAGTGATCCTTTCGTGGCTCCTCTAGAAAACGACTCACATAGCCAACCGCAAATGCCAAATCTGGACGAGTATTGACTAAGTACCTGAGACTCCCCACGATGCTTCTCTATACTGTCGCATCCACCAGCGGCTCCGTGCTCATCTTGCTCAGTTTCAGACGTGTTGCCATTAGTACTTGACAAGGATTGCACCCTGCCATCCCGCTCCTCTCTAGAATCTTGGCGGCATAGGCTCCTTGGCTGATCAAGGTGCCCCTCGCACTCTGCCTGACTTCAATGCCAAGATAGTAGCGAAGCAGGCCGAGGTCGCTCATCTTGAATACGTCAGCCATCTCTTTTTTGAAATACTTGATGTCGTCGCAGCTGGCGCCGATGATCACCAGGTCATCGACGTACACCCCGACCACTAGCTGCGCCTCCCCATTCCACTTGGTGTAGATGGCATGTTCCGAGGGACTCCTCCTGAATCTGAACGACAGCAACGTTTCGTCCAACTTCGCGTTCCAGGCCCTAGGCGCCTGATGTAAGCCGTAGAGTGCCTTCTTCAGCTTAAGTACCTTGTGCTCGTTGCCCGTGCTGATGAAACCGGCCGGCTGCTCCACGTACACCTCTTCCTTGAGATCGCCATTCAAGAACGCCAACTTGACATCCATGTGGTGCACCTCCCACCCCTCGTGCGCCGCGAGAGCAATGAGAAGGCGCACTGTGTCCAGCTGCGCCACAGGTGCGAACACCTCGTCGTAGTCGATCCCTTGGCGTTGCGCATAGCCCTTTACCACCAGGCGCGCCTTGTACTTCGCCACGGCTCCGTTTTCATCCCGCTTCACCTTGTACACCCACTTCAACCCGATCGCCCGGCGACCATGTGGGAGGTCTACCAGGGACCAGGTGCGGTTTTCCTCGATCGACGCCATCTCCTCCTCCATTGCCTTCCTCCAGCTCGGGTGGCCCTCTGCTTCAACAAAAGAGACCGGCTCATCAGAACTTACAGCGTGCAGCTCCTTTGCAATTAACACCCGCGACGCGAGACCACGTGGCGAGGCCAGCCCAACGATGTTGTCGATCTTGCGGAACCGGAGTGGCGCATCATCGTGATTAGCATCCAGGTGGTCAATGTGGACACTCGGTGGAGAGGTGAACTCCACCTCCTCTCCTCCATCTTCAATCGACGCTGCTCCCCCACTGTAGTGCACAGACGGTGGCGACATCGGCTCCGGTCCCGGCGCATCATCATCAAGTACCTCGATGGCGCCATCGAGCTCTGGAGGTACCTGGTTCCCGACGGCATACTCCAATGTGAACATATCGTCGTGGCTGCCCACATCCCCTTGCTCCGCGCCACTGCCCCAGTCCCACTGGGCATTCTCGTCGAACACCACGTCTCGTGTCACATGGACACGCCTTGCGGTGGGATCGTAGGCTCGGTAGGCCTTTGATCCGTACTCGTAGCCGATGAAGATCATCTTGCGGCCGCGGTCCTCCAGCTTCTTGAGATGCGGTGTCATGTTCAGGACGTAGGCGATGCATCCGAACACCTTCAGATGGTGCACCGCCGGCTTCTTCCCGTGCCATACCTCGAAAGGCGTCATGCCGTCCACGCTCTTCGTGGGACACCGGTTCAGGATGTATACAGCAGTTGCCACTGCCTCACCCCAAAACCAGCCCGGCAGCCCCTTTGCCTTGAGCATGCTCCTCGCGGTTGCTACCACCGTGCCGTTCCTGCACTCGACGATGCCATTCTGCTGCGGGCTGTATGGCGCCGTGTGTTCACGATGAATACCTTCTCCCGCGCAGTACTCCGCGAACTCATGTGAGGTGAATTCGCCGCCCCGATCAGTACGGAACGCTCCCAACTTCAGTCCTGACTCGCCTTCTGCGCGAGCCTTGATCTCCTTGATGGCCACCGCAGCACGGTCCTTTGAAGGCAGCATGGCCACCCACATGTACCGGCTTCGATCATCCACGAGCAGCAGGAAATACTTGCTGCCGTTTGGCGTTTCCGGCGCAATCGGACCACAGAGTTCGCTGTGCACCAGCTCCAGAACACGCCGCGCCCGGTACTCTCCCTGCTGGGGGAACGGCGACCGCTTTTGCTTGCCAGCGAGACACGCCTCGCACAGCTGGTCCACCGGACCAACCGCCGGCAACCCGCGCACCAGCTCCTCCCGAGCCATCTTCCGCAGCGCGGTCATGTTGACATGGCCGAGGCGCGCGTGCCATTTCCAAGCTTCTTCGACTGCCCGCGCCTCCAGGCACACCTGCCGAACCAGCTTGGCGTGGAGAATGTACAGCCTGTTCTCTCCGCGCATGACCTTTGCTAGGAGCCGTCCGCCTGGCTCATGGATCTTCATCGCCCCCTTCTCGATGTCGATATGGTACCCGGCCTCATCGAGTTGGCCGATGCTGACGATGTTCATCGTCAGTCGGGGAATGTAATACACCCCCGCGAAGGACCGGTGCTCGCCGTTCTTGCACAGGAACACGATTGCCCCCCGGCCTTCGATCCGCGCCACCGAGTCGTCGCCGAACCGCACCATCCCAAGTACCTTCGTGTCCAGCTCGGTGAAAGCTGTACGGGAACCCGACATGTGGTTCGTGGCGCCCGTGTCCACGACCCACGCCTCCTCATCACGCAGCTCCTCCTCTTCAAGGTGGGCGAACACCTTTTCTTCCCGCAGATGGATCTGGGTTTGGGCGCCTGGCTTCCGCTCTTCTTTGGCGGCCCCTCCATTGACAGGGACCCCTTTTGCTCCCGGCGGCGGTGGGCTTGCACGCCGGAGCCGATCCTCTGCCTGCGGAGTCGCAGCAAAACGTGGTGGAGTGGAGGTTGGTGGCGGCACCGTCGATCTGGCCGTCGTTGACTTCACGAGAAGGAGCGAGGCCTCCTCCTCATTTTGGACGACGTGGGCCTGCTCTTTCTTGGGCTTGGAGCGGCACTCGCGGGCCCAGTGGCCCAGCTTCCCGCATCTCTTGCACTCATCACCTCTGGGCCGGCCTGAGTTGCCCGTCAGGCCGCCTGATGACGAGCCCTTGTCGCTGCCACGGCCGCGCCCGCACCCGCGCCCATGTCTGACACGGTGCGTCACGCTGCTGCTACCTCCACCACCAGTTTTCTCATTATCACGCTTCCTCCGCCGTGCATCCCACTCTTCCTCAGTCAGGTGCAGCTTGCCGTCGTGGTGCATAGACGACGGCAGTTCCTCGAAGGCATCCTCCGCCGCCTTGAGCCGACCCGTCAAATCCGCGACAGTGAGCGTCGACACGTCAAGCAGCATCATGATCGCGACCACGATCTGCCTGAAACGCTGGGGAACACTGCGGATTATCTTCTCCACTACCTGCGTCTCTTCGACCTTGTCGCCGAGGGTGTTGAGAGTCGACGCCATGCTGTTGAGACGCAGCGTGTAGTCCTCAACAGACTCTCCCTCCTTGAACGTCGCCGAGTCGAACTGCCGCCGCAAGTTCTGAGCCGACGCTTTCTTTACGCGGTCATCGCCAATCCGCATGGTGGCGATAGCCTCCCAGGCCTCCTTGGCCGTCTCCTTGTTCGCGATCACCGGCCACATTTCCGGCGGCACGGCGCTGCAGAGCGCGTCAAGCGCCTGCATGTCTTCGTGGGGTTCGACGCCCCCTTTCTCAATGGCAGTCCAGAGCAACCGGGCTCTGAGCTTGACCTTCATGAGCAGTGCCCAGTCGGAGTAGTTGGTCTTGGTGAGCATTGGGAACCCGGTCCCGGCGCTCACCTCACGAATCACCCTCTGGACCACTCCGTCCTTTCCTCCTGCCATAGCGCGTCTCGATTGTGCGTTCTCGATTCCAACGGCTGTACCTTGCCGCGATCGAGTCCCGGCCCGCAACCTGGGAGCTCTGATACCACTTGTTAGAAACTCGCCGGAGAGACGACGGCAGTTAAGACGTCGCCGGCGAGATCACCTTCTGAGTCACAGGAAAAACCCAGCAGGAGGAACAAGGAAGACTATCTCGCTCATTGAAAACCTCTTACAGCCCTCTTTAAATAAGGGAGCAACAAAAAGAGAAAAGAAATAACCGTAAGCAATAAGCAACCTGTTACAGCTCTAGGCGGTGTGCCTCGAGACATGTAAGGCTTATGCCGTTACGCGAAACGACGTGGAAGACATGCAAGGCTCCCCGTTCACGACAGCGGCGCCACTGCTTTCGCTCGTCTCCTTACTCCTAGAGAAGCTTAACAGTTTGAAATACAAGGAAGTGATGCCATGCGGGTTACAGTCCGCGCTAGAGGAGCTCGAGGAGAAGATCAAGGAGATCAGACACTTCGTCCCCGATGCAGAGACCCAGGCCTTCGGCAGCGAGTACGCCCGCCTCTGGCTGAAAGCGCTGAAAGAGGCGGTGTACGACGCAGATGACGTCCTCGACGACTATGCAATCGCCGGAGGAATGGTATCAGTACAGCCGGAAACGCTCTCCTCGACCAGCATGGTACGTCCTCGTTTCTCCTCTCCATTGTCTCGCACGAGTCAGATTGAATTTGAACACGAAATGGGGATGAGAATAAAGAGTATAAACTCTAGACTACAGAAGATCTCAAAAGAGAAGGCTGAGCTACACTTGACGCCTACCGATGATCACTTCTCAACGACAGGCAGCAGCTTTCAGACATCATCTCTAGTCAATCTAGAAATTGCTAATTCAGTAGTCGAATTACAATGCAAAAAATTACTGTGACTACTTGTGGGGAATGAGAAAGATAGCAAGCTGATAGCGATCACGGGGATAGGGGGAATCGGAAAGACTACACTGGCTAAAGTGACATTCAACGATCAATTCATCGCAGCCAATTTTCACATGAAGATTTGGGTCTGCGTTTCCAAGTACTTCAACCAAATTAAGATATTAAAAGAGGTCATAGAGCACGCCGGTGGGGACCCCCGGGATGGTGACTGCAAGGAACAGCTGGCCCAGATCCTAAGCAGCCTCATCAAAGACAAGAAATTTTTTCTTGTTCTAGATGACGTCTGGACGACAGAGGTCTGGGACGAGCTACTCCGAGGAGCCTTGCAGGGCGCCGCTGTTGGCAGCATGGTGTTGATAATGACTCGTCTCGAGTCTGTGGCGAGGCAGGTGGGGGCGTCGCACCTTCATCCTTCCATGAGAATGACTGGTTTTGAAGGGTTCTACCTTTTGTGCAAGATGGTGTTCAGAGATGGGGAGGAGCAACAGTGGGGAGCCATGCAAGATGTTGGCGTTAAAATTGCCAAGAGATGCAAGGGCATTCCCTTAGCTATAAAGATGATCGGAGGGGTTCTGAGATGCAAGGGTAAGAACGTACGGGAGTGGGAGGAGATACTCGAAGATCAAGTATGGTCTACATCCATCTTCCCAGAGGACGAGGAAAATGTTCTGAAGGCTCTGTATTTGTCTTACAGGGATCTGCCCTCAAGCATCAAGCAGTGTTTTCTATACCTCTCACTGTTTCCCGAGGACTACGCGTTTGCGCGTCCCAGTGTCGTGCAGTACTGGGCCGCTGAGGGTTTCCTGAAACCAGAGGGCACTTTGACCATGGAACAAATAGGAGACAAGTTTTTCGACGAGCTGACCGGCAGAGGTCTTCTCCAACCAGAGCTCTCAGCGATAGAGGGGGCTCTGTGCAAGATGCACGACATTGTGCGTTCTCTTTGTCAGTATCTGGCTGAAGGTGAATGCCTCTTCGGCGGCATGCCGAGACTGAAAGGCAGGTCCGGAAAGCTCCGCCGGTTGTCAATGGTAGATTGTGACTTTCCCATAGACCTTCATCTCTTGAAAAGAGAACAACGCCTGAGGAAACTCCTTATCTGTAGGAACCCATATGGAGGGATGGTTCTAAGACAGGATGTTATTGAAGCTCTTGGGTATCTGAGAGTCTTAGATATCAGTGAGGAACAGCCACATTTCATCACAAAACTTCGACACCTGAGGTATCTCAACGTCTCTGGGACTCCCATTGGAGCGTTGCCAGATTCGATAGGCGATATGAAAAGCCTGGAGTTCCTGTTACTGATGAACTGCGAGAACGTCACGTCTCTTCCAGATGGCATAACGCAGTTGAGAAATCTAAGGTGCCTTAGGATGAATGAGAGAACTAACATCGACCAGATGCCAAGGGAATCGGCGGACTGCATCAGCGAGTTCTTTATGGGTTTGTTGTGGACAAGCGGGAGGGAACTCTGCGAGAATTGGGGCCTCTATTAAAACTGAGACATCTGGTGATCAGAAAATTGGAGAGGATATCAGAAGCAACGTAAGCCAGAAGTACCCTCCTTGAGAATAAAACCTCCATGAACTTCACAAGCTTTGAGTGGACCTTCCCTCCCGTCGATACTAGCACTACAGATGCAAGTATCTTTGATGAGCTATGCCTCCCACCTTCCCTGAAGATACTCAGCGTCGTAGGATGCCTTGGGCTCACCCTCCCTCGTTGGATGTGGCCTTCGTCGTCATCTGGCGTCTGTCACACCCATAATCTCACAATGATAATCTCCCTCATCTGAAGCTCGTCTGGATCAGTGGTTGTGCCCAGCTTGTAAGCATTGGGCCGAGCTCGCAAACTCTTCTGTTTCCCCACATCCATCTTCTTCTACCTCTTCCTCTACTGCAATTGTTGGCACAACTGCTGTTCTGTTCCCCAAGCTGGAATCTTTTACTCTCATAGAAATGCCGAACCTTGAAACCTGGTCCTGGAAAACAAACATAATGGCTTTTCCTTCCCTCAAAACTCTGTACCTTGAGGACTGCCCCAAGTTGAGATGCATCCCCGATGGCTCCTGGAGACGACTCAACCACATATTTATCTTCAACTGCCCCTCAATCTTGGAGGTGGGGAGTCTTCCTGCTCCGGAAATATTGATCGTAAGAGATGACAGCTCGGAGGACCTCTCGCCATGGTTAGAGCACGTCTGTATCGATCCCAGGGATGAGGTGTCATTCCTTCTTCTCAAGGTCAGGTTGAGTCTGCTCAGGAGAATGTTGCAACAGAGAGAGGCGGACCGTAACGACCAAGACGGTGGTTGGAATGTCGTTAAACAATTCCCTCGTGGTCACGTTGCAGCAACCGACGATGAAACACTGTTTTTCTGCTACCTCAAAGATCAATCATTCTTCAACACCAACGTGCAGGTCGCTTAAGGCGAGGGCCACTGTTGAGGCAGCAGTGGAGGAGAACGGGTAACAAACTGTGAATGACAGGCCGATCCCATAGATGATGATGGAATAAGCTCGACGCTGATGGCAGGGAGTCATCTGCGGCGACAGGTCAGGAAGATGGAATCTTCACTGCTTTCGTTTTTTTTTTCCTTTTCTCCACCTGTTCTTTGAACTGTTCTTGGGCAGTTGGGTCCCTCGTGCTGCTTATTTGGCAAGGTCGCTACTGACCAAGCCATAAACGATTTCCTTTATATGTTCGTCGTTTCCTACAGTAGAAAAATAAGACAGTGTTTGCTTGAAATCTCTTTTTCTCTTCTTCTTGTTCGTGAGGGTTCTTTCCTTCATCTGGTATCAGAGCTCTCGTTCTGATCCAGGGAGAATCATGCCGAGACGAGGAGATGCATCGTCCCAGGCCGGTGGCAACTTCTTTGTGGAAGGAGCTGTTCCTAGCTTAGGCACCGGAGCACCCGGGGTGGGTGATGTGGCACCGTCGGTATCATTCCCTGTGCTCTCCAAAACCAACTACCCTCTATGGGGCTAGTCGGATGGAGGTCCTGTTGGAGGCACATGGGCTATGGGAGGCGATTGAGGCGGAGAGCGTGGCAAGGAAGAAGGATCGTCAAGTCCTCTCAATCCTTCTCGGAGCAATTCCTGAGGAGATCCAGGTGCAACTCAACATCAAGAGGCCTGCGAAAGAGATACGGGAGACTCTTAGGAATAAGAATGTCGGCATCGAACGCGTGCAGAAGCCCGTGTTCAAGCCTTGAAGAGAGAATTTGAGTCTCTCAAGATGGGCACTCGGGTCATTAAAAGTTCATGAGGAGAAACTTCAAGAGCGTCAAACTAAAGAAGAAGAAGAGCAAGCCCTGCTGACGCGTGCAATAGATAAGAATAAAGGTATGGGTGGAAACTCAAGAGGACGTGGCAGAGGATGAGGACATTTAAGCTCTGAATAAATTCCTTCACATAAGCCGTTCAACATTTAATCAATGAAATTAGCTGCTTCTACGACAAGGAGATGAAATCCTTTTGAAGCAAGTTTTTCTTCGGACATATTGCTGAACGGCTTGCTTGACTTCGTTTGTGTACGCAATGAACTACTGATTATAACGCTTAATTTCTTTTGCATGGAGTACATTTTGAACAAAGGACAAAAGAAATCAATAGCTTGCGGCAATTAAACATTCAAAGCAGACAACAGAAGAATCATCCATGCGGTCAATCGAGGTGTACATTATTATTGCCATCTTTTATTTAGGACAAGATACACATCATGCCGCCGTCACCATGTGTGATTACAAGTACGGGCCATGCAGAAGGTTCACGACGGAGTGAATGGCCATTTATTCACCCATCTCTACTAAAACAACGTTGAAACCCACGAACGAGAAAGCACGTCGCCGTCCATTAGCACACCATCTCTACGCTCCAGAAGGGGAATCTATGGCAGTAACAGGTCTACTCGTCCAGAAATTTAGGGCGATAGCCATTCTTGCGGTGGCGGTACGACGGCCTCCTGATCCTCCCTGTACACGAAGTGGAAGCCGCCCTGGTAGCCAGTGAGGTGGAAACAGACGCAGCTGGTGATGTTCTCGCTCCGTCTGCTGCAATCATAAGCGTGCTCGCCGACGCCGGCGCAATCAATGCGACTTAAAAAAGAACCAGGGGAACGGCGGCGGTCGTGGGCCTGCCTGTGGTGGCCATTACTTGCGCTTGCCGGCGGAGGTGCTCCTAGGAATCGGATTCAACTAGGGTTTGGGGTTACGTTGGGCTGGAGTAGCAAATAAGTATTTTCGATGCGCGAAGATTAATTTATAGGGAACGGAAAATGGAGAGACAGCTGAATAATGTGGTAAGCTTATTGACGCGGCCGCAAAAATACATCGATGGTGGAGATTGGGATTCTTAATCGGCTTGCATTCAACTAATTACTTTGCTCATATCCGCTCAATCTGAAATGAGTTTAGTCGGTTGACATCTACTCAAATGGACATGACGACGGTGTCCTTGAGCTATTAGTCTACTTGAATAGACTCAGACAATTGTGACTATTCCAACTTTGACGTGGTTGCCTTTCATCAAAGGAGCCCATCATTTCCAAGCAGAACAAAAGTATGGATGACAAAGGAACTCTGTTTGGAAATGCGACTAGATTTAGGACTTAATAACAGGCCTGTTATCACAGTAGAAGATGAGAGCATGAGTACAGAATGCTCACAATCTAATAAGTGATATGCAGAAAAGTAAATGTGCTAAAATAATGATATCAGTAATTTATTATCATTTAGAAACACACCTCAGAACCACTAAACAAAGAAGGAGAATATCTAATAGTCAATGAGGAACAAAATGCAAGGATATGGAGTTAACGAAGCTCTAACCACAAGCATCGAATGAGAGAGAAAGAAGAGAAGCTGGAATCTAGATTTCAGATGTCAGAGAGAGAAAGGTTTCTCATTCCCTTGATTTCAAAGGTTATCTCTTCAAAATGCGCAAGTACACAGCCACTTAAGATAGCTCGCCGTGTGATGTTAACGTGCAGAGCAATACGATAGACAATATTTTATAGGGAATCTGACGAGAGTAACTAGATGGTTTTCTCTTATAAGAACTCCAGTAGGTTACCTAAATTCTCTTTTGTCTTTAATGAATCTAATGATGCGGACATTTTTATGCACGTCGACAAGAAGAGAGACGCTGAGATGGTGTTTGTGTGGCAATGGTCTCCCAATGCATCTCAATTAAACCCGAACTTCCTATTTGTCAGAGTATGTCCTTCCCCGCTGCCGAAGTGATTTCCATTTTCACATTGGAAGTGATAGGTTCCGTTCATGGAACGCAACAGGAAATCGTTCACAACGCGAATGACAGGCGTAATGTATCTACGTAAAGATTGATATAGCTATATTCTCGAGTCCAAAGAAAATTTTTGTGCATCAGTTTTAGTATCGCAGAAACTATGGGACGGCTTGCACAGGACACGACATAAATATCAAGCTTGGAACCTTTTTCAGGAATAAAGTCTTCTTTCCATTTAATCCTATAAAAAAAATACGGCAGCAAGGTTGTTGCCCACCACTAAATTCTGTAACGTATATTCTCTTCTAACTATACTAAATTACATTATCGACCAAGTTTATCTTAATGATATCAAAGAAGCTCAATTTTCTCAACCTTTATAACGTTTACGAAACAAGATCTACACACTCCCTTCGCATATACGTGCTGTAGAGTATTTAGTGCATATTACCATTAAACAAGTTTCGGTTCCATACTATCCTCCTTTACACTATTTATGATTGCAAGTACACATCGTGCAGCTAGTTTACGACGAAGTAATTGGCCGTTTATTCACCCATCATTATTCAAACACTGCCGAAAGCAGCGAAGGGGGGCACGTCGCCGTCCCCTTAGCACACCATCTCCACGCTCCTGAAGGGGAACCTGCGGCAGTAGCGGGTCTCCTCGTTCAGCAATTGAGAGCGATAGTGGTTCCTGCAGTGGCGGTCCGTGTACAGGACGGCCTCCTGCTCCTCCGTGAACACGAAGTGGAAGCCGCTCTGGTAGCCAGTGAGCTCGAAACAGCCGCAGCCGTTGATGTCCATGGTCTGTCCGCTGCATCCTGGGCCGGAGAACACCGTGAGCGTGCTCGCCGATGCCGGCGCAATCATTGCGACGGCAAAGAGGACAAGGAGAGCGGCGGCAGCCGCGGGCCTGGCTGTGATGGCCATGAGTTCCAGTTGCGGATGGAGGTGGTCCTAGGGAGCTGATTAACTTAGGGCTTGGATTATGCTGGGTTGCAGCGGTGAAGAGCTCTTGTCCATACGCGGAGGTTCATTTATAGGACTGGAAAAGGTCGATAGAGTGCTGAAAGAATGCGGCAAGTCCATTCACGCTACGTAGAAAATCGATGGGTCGTCGAGACAACGGATTCCTAATCGGCGGCCATTTGCTATAATTATCATTTTCATACGCGGTAGCTGAATTTATGATTTTCCGTTCAGCTGTAATTGCAAGCTGACGACGAACGCTTCGTTGAACTATGCTTT